GTGGATTAATTAATGTTGATTTTCGTCTATTTTTTTTTTTTTATGAATGTTAGCCAATATTTTAAGAATATTAGTTAAGAAACTACAAAAAATTATATTTAAAAATGTGTTTTAATATAATTATAGATTTGTTCAATGACAATTTTTTAACTTGTAAAGAAATTTATAATTTACATAGTTTTCCTACTAATATTATTTGACGAATAAAAAAAAAACTTACCACTTTTAAACTAACTACTAATATTTTCTTCTATTTTTACTTAACTTTTTATATAATTTATATTAAAAAAACTATAACTATTTCTTTTCGTCATTTAAAACATTTTAAGTATTTGTAAAATTAATCTTGTAAAATAGTTTTAATTAAATCAGTTAATTATAGTTTGTAAGCTTTCATTATCCATAAATTATTTTAAGTATTCCTTAAATTATCTCTTCTTTTAATTCATGTATACTAAAATTAATTAATGAATAAACTAACTTATTTAATTATATTTTAAAAATATGATATACATGCAATGCGAATCTTGTATCGATCATAATTAAAAAAATAAGTGTGCGTTAAGTTTGTGAAAATGCATTTTTTTAAAATATAATTTATAAGATTTTGTTAACTGTAAATTTAGAATTGAGCTTAAGGATAAAAAAATTGTTTTAATAAAAATAAGATTTTTAATACATTTATTATATTAAAATTATAAAAGTGTAACAATTTTAATAAAACATTATTATTAGTTAAAGTATAATAAAATAATTTTTTAACGTAGTTCAGCTGGCAAACCGAAGTTAACTTAGTATTCATAATTCAACTTTTATTTTTAAACATTCAAATAATATTTACATTCTATTTAAACATTTTTCATCTTTAACTTTTTATTACTTTATATTATTTATGATCTCTGTATTTTTATTTTACTTTTTTGTAATTCTGACAAAATGTATACACCCAACTATTTTTCCTTCATAATTTGACTGCTTTAAACTCTATAAATTTAATGAACTTTTTTATATCATAATTTTATTAATCTCAATTAAAAAAGTATAAAAACAATAAATATATTTTTAATAAAAATCATTATTATTATATACTTAAATTTATCGTTAACAGCTTATATTAACATATGTTTATCTTTACCATCCCTTCAAATTTGGCCAACCGATCGGTCCAAGTTATGTGTTTTTCCTTGCATAAAACTCTTCTTTATAATATATATATATATATATATATATATATATATATATATATATATATATATTATAAAGAAGAGTTTTATGCAAGGAAAAACACATAACTATTTTTAATTCTATTAATTGTTAATTTTTTATTTATTATGAATTTTATGCTAATGAGATACTAACATTTTACTCACATGATAAATATATTTATTTATTTTAGGCATAATTTTTTCAAAACTTTAATGTGAATTTATATTCATTTTAAATATGAATTCAAATACACAGTTGTGAGTTGAGGCTTTTCCCTGTGTTCAGTTTAGGCATTCCAGATGCGACTTAATGGTTAAATTTTACTGCTCTGTTTTTCCTTCTTTGAATATTTAGTAATTTTTAATTTGTAAAATTGATAAAATCATTTTTTTATTTTACTTTTAGTAATTAATATTTATTTAGTAGAGATAATAAATTATTAAGATATTAATAAATATAATAAAAAGGTATAATAAATTAATAATTTTTTAATATAAACTTTAGAATGCAAACAGTTTTCTTAATTTTTGTCCAAAACTTTATGTCAAATGAAAAGAAGAACAAAGGGAGTAGATGAGTTTGGTAATTTAAATTATTAAAAATTGATATCGCATATAATACATATAAGAAAAAGCATTTTAATCATAGCACCTTAAAGAAATTTATTGATATTAAGAAAATAATAAATAATACTTTTATTAAAAATTACTTGAAGATATATTAAAAATTATGAGAGTGAATATAATCTTATATTTTTAATAATAATAATAATTTTTGTTTTTAATTCTTGAACCAATATTTAAAACTTTTTAAATAAAAATTAATATCAACACTTAGAACTTATTCCATGTACTCTGTTTTATTAAAAAATTTAGAGATTTTATTAGTCTTGATTTAATATAAAACCATTTGTAAAATTTTAGAAGCATTTGTTATTTATTTCATATATTTGTCTTTCATTATTGAAACTTTAAAATTTTTTATCAATTAATACAATAATAAAGTTTGACATTATATTGAAAATATAAAAATATAATAAATATTAATTTTTTTATATATTTAAAATAATGTTAAATAAATGTCATTATATATAATTATTTTCTAAATACATATATCTTAAACATATACAAAAATAAAAAAAAGACTTAAAGCATATTTGTTTCTGTTTTAGTTTTAAATTTTTAAAAACTATATCTTAAAATAATTTAAAAAATAGAAAAAAAGTAATTTTAAATTTTTTTAAGAAGAAAATAAAAATAAAATTTATTTGTTTGGTTTTCAAAAATATTTTTAAGATGGGAAAAAACTTGTTTAATAAATTTATTTTTGAAAATAGATATTAAAAACTAAAAGAATGTATTTGGTTTCATTTATTTTTTATTTAGTATTTTAAATTAAATATGTATATATTATATTTAATTTTAGTAATTTTTATTTACTTAAATATATTTTTATATTTAAAATGAAAATTTTAGTAAAACATCAAGATTTAATTAATATTGAATTGAAAAATATTTTTGTTTATGAAGTAATACTTACAATTTATTGATAAATTATGAAAATAATAAAATTAAATTAATATTAAACTAAAAATAATGATTAATTTTAAAATTAAAATAATTTTTAATAAATAAATATAAATAGTATGAATAGGTAATATCACAAAGAAAACAAGTAAATAACACCCAAATATTAAAACAAGTGAATATGTATATTAAAAATATTTTTAACTATTTTGAAAAGAGAGAAATGAAAACTAAAATTAAGAGTATGTTTGATTTTTATTTTAAAAATATTTTGGAAATTATTTTTGTTTTTTTAATTTTAAAAACTGAAAATAAAAAATTATATTTAAAAAAAGAAACAAGCATGATCTTAAATTGCTTGATGAAAAGAACATAATTGATTTTAGATAAGGAAACGTGAACAAACCTCTTACTCAATGAACATTATTTTTGTAATAGACTATTATTAACAATAACAAAATTTAAACTCCTCTTGTCTTTCTCTCATCGCTGAGATAGATACAGATGCGACCAAATTAAATTAAAAGTCAATTACGTTGTTCATAGATGGCATTGGCACTACCCTTTGAGACTTGGCTTAGGCACCCGCCAAGTGCCTCTCTAATAGAAATGCTTCACGACATCACAGACAAAACATCCTTAATCAACGTATCACTTTCATATCTTAAGTATCGTTAAAGGTACTTAGTCTGCCCCTTGACACCTGTCCGCACAAGTGGAACAAATTGAAAATAGACAACGATCAATGTTCATAGACAGTGAAAGGTTACCCCCATCAGCAATGGCTTGTTTATAGATAACCACGGATTTATCCCTCAATTTTATGCCATGATGCTGACTTTAAACTACTATTTAGAGTCTCCAAATTCAAAGATTCAAATCACCCAACGACCGTTGATTCAATTGATGGGATGAAAATGGTTTTATTTAAAGGTTTTCATTAATAGATCATAATATTTTTTTCATTGAAGTTTGTGGCATAGCTTTCTTTATGTAAATATTTTATCAAAAAGAAAATGTTTCAAACCAATTAAACAATCCTATATATCATGAATACGTAATCCCAAATGCCCATAAACAATTATAGATTAGGGTGACTCACTTTCACTATGAGACAACTTGAGTGGCCGTTGAAAATAATTAGACGAAGGGTGTCACTTGTTGTACAGTTTGGAGCACGTGATTAAAATTGCAGTGGTTGAATATTTTTTATGATGAAAACCTTAATAAATAGTTGACAATACTGACTTTTGAGTATGGTCGGGCTATAGAATATTCAACACAGTTACCCTTTTATTGCAAGATAAAGCTCGCTAATGACATTAATATACTAGTATATATATGTTAAGAATTTCTTCTCTCACGCTTATATCTAAGTCTTCTCAAAATAAATAATATATTCATGTACAAATGTATTATCGAATAATAACATTAATACACGTGATCATTATTAAACTTTTAATCTTAATTATTCATGTAAAAAATGCATTATCGAAATTGAAAATTTTTACAATTTTATATATATGTATGTACATACGTGGTGGCATGTGGGTTCTAATTGAAAGAACAAGTTCATGTTAAAACCGACGTTGTTGAACAGTCTGGTTCAACAATGGCTACTTCTGGGGAGAGTTGTAGAGACCCGACTATTCTAGTTCATGAATCCACGAATTTACAATTCTTTTTAGCTCTGGTAAATAAAGAATAAATGAAAACGAGAGTCCAATGCGACTAAAGAGATCGGATTAATAAAATAAATTATATGCTCATGAAAAAAAAATGTTCGTGTTAGAATAGACTTTATCTAATAATTTCTTTTAATACACATTAATTAACTACCTCGTCAGTTTTTAGTACTCACAAACTAGCAGTTTAAAACTACTAATGTAAGATTTTTTAACTGCTAAAAAACTTATTTTCTATAGTAGTGATAACATAATCTATAACATTGCTTCATATGATAAATTATATGAATTTAATATGTTAATAACATTATATTATCATTTTAATAAAAAAAAATATTATTTTTTATTGTATATTATCGAACATAGTTAAAAAAAAAAAAAAGATATACAATATGAATACAAATAAATATATTTTTTTTTAAAAAGTAACGTCAAAATCAAAGTTTAAAAAAAGACAGTGGAGTTCAATAATTACTTTAGTGCACTGAATTTGAAGCAGGCCTTTACATGCATTGCATCATACTTAATACAGTAGATAGAAACATACAACAAAATACAAATATTGCCCCCTAAAATTATGGTGCACTTATCACCCCAATCATCGGTTGGGAAGTAGGGACACAAATGTCTAATAATTACTCAGCTAGGAATGATCATTGTGGACCACCCAAATTTAGCCATTACAAACCAATCAGGAAGAAGAAGACAGACACACAGTTTTTTCACATCAATTTCATATCTATATATCCAATATTTGTCCCCCGTTTCGTGGCTTAACTAATAGACCATTTGCTCAGACCAGTAGCTATCTTGTGACATGATTTACAATTAATTATCTGAATATCAATAAGAGGGTTTTATTCGATAAGCAATGTCCTCATTGATAACTATCGATCATGCTTCTTGGAGATTTTAAAGATTCCACTTGAGATTTTCCACATGGTCCTCTTAATCTAATGAGGAGCCTGTATTCATCGAAGGTCATTGCCGAGTAGAGTGCAGGTCGATCTGGCTTTACCAGCTCCTTGGCTGGCTCTATGGGTATGTTACTCTTGGGATTGTAGAAGAAGGCCAGGGAAACTCTCTCTTTGTTTGAATTTACTAGCACCCTGTGCTCTACACTCTTGTAGATTGCATTGCTTAGAATCTTGTCAAACACAAAACAAATCAAATTAATATATATATATATATATATATATATATCTCACTTTCATATTCATTTTTATATTAATTTATATATATATATAAACTTCTTCAGAAGTTATCTACTCTTAAACTTTAATTGAAAGTAATATCATCTTGCAAATGCTGATAAAATAAAAAAAAACTAATCCTGCAAACTTACATAGGAGGCAAAGATCTACGTCGATGCCTTTTGGTACCACGGCATTGCTTAAGCAAATATGCACGTATATTATTCATGGCGGTGCCCATAAAGAATGAATAAAACGATTATATATATATATATAACAATACTATATACAACACATGGTTTTTCCCGGAGCAGAATAATCTTGGCAATATGAGTTTCATAGGCACCGTGACCCACTTAATTTTAAAAATAACACCCATTTCATGTGGTTGTTGGTAGAGCCAGCTTATTCTATCATTTTTTGTTCAGGGTAGAAATAGTACCGCCATGCACTCATTATGTAAACAGCACAATTTGCATAAGAAAATTTGATCAGTCTTCTTAAAAAAAATATAGATGTTAATAATGGCTAAACGGTACTCTTTTGGTTTAAGTCTCAATTATTGGAGTCTTCCCTAACTTTATTTCGTCAACATATATAATTTAGATATTAATTTCATTATTTAGTCATGGTAGAAATAATATTTTGCATGGCGCAAACATATGTTGGGTCTTTAGAACTTGTCAAAGATGCAATTATTACTAGTTATATTGAATATGATTGGTAGATCATTGATCATAGCTTTATATGCTGGGGCGTATAATTTGTCACTAAAACGATAGGGGATAAAATTAAGTTTTAAATAAGTTATTACTCGATAAAACTATATCTTTTAATTTTAGTTTTTAAAAAAAATTTATTTGATTTTTAATTTCTATACATAAAAAAATATGATTAACTGAATAAGATTTTTATAAGGATTAATTAGAATAAAATGTGTTATATTTTTAAGGACTAATAATTTCTTTAAATCTAAAATTAAAGACAAATAAAATAAAATATGATGAATATTACTGTTAAATGAGATTTAAAAATATGAAAAATAGTGGAAAAAATTTGTTATAAAAAATATTATAACTCAAACCAAATTGAGCTGAAAGTATAAAATCATATGTTCAGAAATTTCGTGTCAAAAGACCAACGACCTTATCCTTAACTCTGTGGCCAACAGGCCAAAGGCTTAATCACTTTTATCTGTGCGAGCTGATTCTGCAATAGTGAAAAGAACATTCTTTATAATAAAGATCTCTTTCAATTATAAACTATTAAACCCATCTTGATTAGAATAATGACATTTCTCTCGAAAACACTTTACCCTACACTTGCACGTTCATTTGAGTAAGAAAAGGTAAAGAGTGCGGAGGATATTAGACTATATGTTTTACTTTTTGTATTATATGAGAAAAATGCCAATATACCCATGATATAATGCAAAAAAATTAATCCCACGTAATCCTTGGCTTGAACAATTATGATGTCAGATGTGTAAACTAAAAAAATATAAAGAATATATAGTTCCAACCCAAATAAAATACAGCATGAAATTAGATCATATTAGGGGAGAAACATTGTGAAGGCCACCTCTATCCAAAAATCTGACGAAGGACAGAACTAAAAAAAAAAACATCAACGCCTCAACTACACATGTCCCCTCCATGTGACAGATTCATGTATCATGATTAAGGAATTTCTAATTAACCAAGCATTCTTTAAAAGGATAATTGAGTGAGAGAGAGAGAGAGAGTAATTATTCACCTGAATTTGGTCACCAATGTTCACAATGAACGCATGGGGAACAGGCTTCACCGTGATCCAATTGTGGCCTCTGCGGACTTGAAGACCAGGGACTTGATCATCTGCAAGCAACAGTGTCATGCCTCCTGGATCTGAGTGAGATGACAGACCCAACGTCAAATCTGGCTGTGGACACTTGGGGTAAAAATTCACCCTTAGGCACGCCCCAATGTCTTCTCCTCCAAAAGCATTCTGAAGAAAATCTTCTTCCAATCCAAGGTTTTTTGACAGAACCTTCATTAACCTCCCACATAACTTCACCAACTCTCTCCCATACTCATCAAACACTTCCCTGCATTCAAGTTTTTATATATGCTTCGTAATTATTTTAGAGATATAATAATTAAATAACACAATTATATAGTGCGTCTTTACCAAGCAGATAAAACGTAATAGATTGTCTAGGCCATTATTTACATCATAGCCTCTATTAGTCAGTAGTATAGAGCCTGGTCTTTATCACCCATGACATGTTCGTTCAGTAAAAAGCTGAATTTTAACACAAATTAAGTGAACCTGTGCATTATTTGCTCTGTAAACCACAGTCAAAGGACTTTAATTACGCGAAGAGCTATGAGCTTCAGTTTTTTGAATAGTTAGTCCATGACGTGCTGTATAATGGACAATTCTATACGCCCAAAAGAATACACACATATATTGCAAAAATTATATACATAAGTTAATGATCAGTTTAGGGTTTCTCTAAGTTATCCACGGGATAGTTAATATCTATATATATCTTAAGTGAACTAATAAAATTTTATCTATAAAATATTGAACAAAAAATTATACAATATCTTAGTTTACTTGCAATAAAATTATTTATTTCATCAAATAACTTAGGCAAACCTCGCTTATCAGTTTATTATATTATTAATTTACCTGCAAGAGGTGGGCTGAGCAGGCCATTTGTTGTAGTCCTTCAATGACAAGGGAAGATAATGAAGATAATAGTAATCACTCCAATCAAGAATGGCACCTTTCTCAACTCCAAGCCTGCTACCATACCCTTCATAAGTTTTTGGTGAGTTTGCATATTGCTGCTTCACCTCCATGGGCAACTGAAAGAACTGGCGCCAAGTTTCCCTAGCCATGTCCATCAAGTGAGGGCTAACCCCATGGTTCACGATTTGGAAGAAACCCCACTCATTGCAAGCCTGAGAAATTTGGTTAAGTATAGAGGCTGCGACATCTGGGTCATCGCCATATAGACCTGCAAGGTCAATGATTGGGATGTTGGCATCAACAGCATGAGCTGCAGCGGAAGGACGATCACTGAGGGGTTTGATATACCTTTCAGGGATTGAATCTACGCATTTTTCGGACAAGGACTGAACTCGAACTACGGGCTCAGGCCAATCTTGTGGGCTACCGTTGATCATTTTTTGTTCGAGTTTATTAGTAGACATGATTTGCAACAAGGTCATGAATAATAAAAATGTGACTAGGTACTATGAAACAAAGGTGTTGGTTTTATTATAACAGTTGGGGTACGTGGGGGGGGTGTTTAGATATAGAAAAGGAGATGTGGGGGTGAGAGATGATGAGGGCATGGGATATAAATGGGAAGAAGGAAATGGGGACATGCATGGTGGGGACTGACTTGGACTTGAATGAAACGTGGAATTCGTGGGAATTTATAGGTGTGAATGCTTTATAAGTTAATTGCAAGAGAAATAGTTAAGACAATTCAGTGTGATGTCTCCGAAGTCGACATAAAATAAATTAAATAAAATCAAGATATATCAACTGTGAATTTATTGCCTCTCGTAAATTTACTTTATTATTTCAAAAACGTTTCCTTCGCATTATATTTTATACATGTTATTTAATTCTATTTTGTATTTTTATACTCTCATCTCGAAAATATTTATCACAAAAAATATTGTCAAATATCTCACTTTAATGGTATATATTTTTTGTATATCCAACTATGATTAAATAAAGTGAAAGAAGGAAACTTTTAACACAAAAATAATTTATCATAATAAAAGAAAACAACAACAAAATGTCTCACTTTAATAGTATCCAAAATACTATTCTCTTTATATCCTGCTAAGATACAAATAAAGAAAGAAAGAAAACTCAAATTTATTTTCCCTTTCTTACTTTCTAACGTGAAAAATAAGTACAAGAGTAAGATATGAAAAAAATGACAAAATATAAACATGGTTATTATTCAGGTCATTTTTATGCTAATCTATATATCCTTATTAAAAAAGAGTTTTGAGATCTCATTTTACTTATAAATAGAGTTTATAAAATTTAAATTATTTTTATTTCATAAGCTAACTTTTAAAATTGAATTAGGGTCAAATTTAAGAAAAATATATTTAAAATATTTTTGATTTATTTATTTATCATCAAGTATTTGGATATTTTCCAAAAATTTAAGAGATGCAACAAAAAATGATGTAAGACAAACATATTTTTCTTCTTCTCATTATAAGGGAACATTTTTGAGCGAGCAAGAAAAGTGACAGTTTAAGACTTCAACATTCTCTTTTTCTTGTATTAATAATTTATATTAGTAGTGGTATTATTAAATCAAAATGATTTTATTTGAAATCAAAAGTAGGATGAGTATGACCACACTCCTCATTTTACAATTCATGTCGACTGAGTTGGATTGAAAGGGATAACCCCTATTCCGGCGCCTTTCACAGCTTGATTTTATCATATTTTTTTTCTTATTTATACGCATGTCTAATTCTAAGCCAGGAATTTAATATGTGCCTGCAAAACCATTGATGCTTTGCTTTCGTAGTATGAAAATGTTTGTGGCTGGGATTTGAGTTGTCGCAAAGTGTTTGATGGGACTTTTACTAAATTGATTCGTGTTTTTCTTGCTCTCTAAAAAGCACCAAGTGTGTCATGAGGTACATCTACTGGTCCAACACTCTAGATTCAACACATATAATTGTTTTCAAATCCATTTGGTATTGTCTGGTAATATGAAATTATATTTTTTTTTACATTAAAACCTTGAATGTTTTTGACAAGAGATTTCTTTATATTTCTTATAGTTGAAGTTAATGAATATTTTTTATTAAAAATTCCACTAAGAATATATTAATAATGTTTATTACAATTATAAAGTACTCCGCTGATTCTCTTTTATAAATTTGCATTTATATATTACTATTGATGGTATTCCCTTCATTAATTTATAAACTAGGAGAAATAAAGTTAGGGGTAATAAAAATTAGTAGATTAATTTATCAACTAATATGTTCACACTAATTTAGTTGAATAAGATGAAAAAAATATAATTAAGCAGTGGACCCTTAAATCAGTGCAAATTTTAAATTAATATATAGTTTGGCTTTAGTTTCCCTAACGTCTTTGATGCTTTGATCCCTTTTTATTTCTATTAAACAGAGGACGAGTGTCGGTAAAGTACACGTTCCTTTCTTTCTTTCTTTAGTTTTTTCCGTTTTCTAAATTTTTTATGTCTTTTTTTTTAATATAACTTACTATTAAAAGAAGCTAGTCATTAATAATGATTTAATATTAAATTAAATTTTATTAATATAAAATTAAGGAAAATCGCGCGAACTATTGATATAAACATTATATATTTATACTATATGAACATTACGGGTTAAAATACATAAAATGTAATAAATTTTCAATTCTTTATTGTATTAGAAATTAATAAAGTCTTTGATTTATTTTCTTTTCAAGCTTTTTAGTAAATTGTCATACCTTCTAATCCATCTAAAGCTCTTTCGATCACTACTTAAATAAAAAAAAATGAAATTAAATGCATCTAAATATAATTATAAGATTCTGGAAGTCATTAAAATGATATGAATTGTTAATTTTAATTCTTAATTTTAAAAAAGTAATTATTCTCTAGCTTTGCAAAAAATAAATTATTTTTTATTGACATTTATGTTAAAAATAATTAAAATGAATATTATTTTACTAAAATGAAAAATTAATAAAATATATTAAATTTTGAGAAACTAAATACACGATACAGTCTGGAACTTATTATCAGTTACTTTTAATAAAGAAATGGGAAGAAAACTCGTTAGACATGTCATATATTAACTTTCATAAGATGCCGAAAGATCCATTCAATTAAAAAGAAAACTATTGTAACAACAGAGGATGATTCGAGTGGTAACTAGCTCAATATCCTATAACAAACGTTTTTGGTTCAAATATTTGTGTATGCAATAAATGTCTAGTAGTAGAATTATTTACCTTTATTCAAGTGAATGTTTGAATTTATTCAGACTTTTAATTTTAAAGCTTATATAAATGTCCTATAATCAAAAAAATTACATAAATGTTTGAATCGATTTTGGTTGTAGTCTCAGTTACATAGAAATCAACTTGAATTCACTTTGGTGGAAGAGTGAAAGTCAACTTAAATCGAATTTATAAAGTTTTAGTTTTTAACTTTTACATGTCTATATAAATGCTAACCTGGGAAGAAGAAACACTCTTTAGAAGAATCTCTTAGAGAGAAAAAAAGAGAAAGAGTTCCAATGTAACTTCAATGGAGATGTACAATAAGTTAAAATGACTTAATTTTATTAATCATATAGCAAATAAACTATCACTACAAGTAAATGTTTAAAAATATTATTTGATTTTATTTGAAATTTTTAATTTAATCTATCATTAATCTTTTTAATTGTCTAATTAAAAAGATTTGTAAAAATTAATTTAATTATTACATATTTAATTATTTTTTGTTATATATTTATTTTTTATGGTAATGTATTATATGATGTATATTGTATATAGAATACATAATGTCTGTTACGTATTTAATCAATTATCGATTATAAAACTGTTAATATATTTTATATTAGATTTTTTTTATAAATAAATTAAATAATTATATTTTTAGGCAAGTAAACATTTATATTATAACTTGGTGGATTAGAATAAATTTAAATTTAGTGAGTATTAAATATATTTCAAAATTTTTAACTTTTGATTCGTATTATAGTAATTTGTTTATTTATTTTAATGGACTTTATACATTAAGGTAATTTTAATTAAATTATACTATTTGTTAAATTTATTTTGTGAGGTAGTTAATTTAAATATAATTTTGTTACAATGTGTTTATATTGGATATCATATTGTATATGAATAAAATTGTAAGCAATATTTTGATTTTTTTTTTTAGTTTTGGTAAACTATATATATATATATATATATATATATATATGTATATAATCTTATAAGAAGTTCAAATTTTAAAAAGTAGATGATATAATACGATGGTCATTTCACATTTGAGAATTGAACTATTTTTTAGGTATACTAATTTTTGGCATGTTACGTCGATGATGCCGATATTTGATTATGATACTACACTCATTAGTGTATTTTTGGAGCATTAGAGACTTGAGTTACACACATTTCAACTGGCAAGATATTTGAGTTGTCATATTGGACAATTATTATCAATAATGTTCTAATATACTTGTCATACAAGTATATTCTGTTGATTAAAATTAATTTTTTTGCAACATTTGAATACCTCAACCATAATCTACAATATCACCAACATAGTATGGTCCAGTTTACATTTGGATAATAGTACTTGGCATGTAAGACTATAAGTCACCCAACCAACCAGGAAGTTTACAATTCTTTCCAATTTTCATGTATCATAGCAATAGCTTTCTATTTGGTTAGCCACATATTTCTATATGTTATCATGAGCCTCAACTCAAACTCTACTGATGCTTGTAGATATTTGATTTTTGTCATCAGATTCGCTTGTATCATGAGGCATATGTGGGTACAGATAATATTATAATCCATCTAAGCATGCTGATCCATAGACTCTGGAAAGATACATGTATGTGATCCCGTCAATTTTTACACTTCCCATAACTGTAATTTCTAGCAAAAGGTGACACGTATATTTCGTTTACCGTCAATGTCAAACTTTACACACTTGCAATAAAATTTTATGTGGTCAAATTCATAAATTTTATACTGAACACCTGTTCAAATGTTGTAATGATTAACAACAAACATCACTTTATTAATGGATAAATAACTAACCAAATTTGATTGTTATTATAAAATGTTTTTTTCTCCACTATGTTTAAAGTTTCATTATTATAATATATAAGCACATGAATATTATTATCTGTCATTTCACTAGGATTTTCATACTCAATCTCATAAATTTTTAAACAAAACTATGTAAAGTCAATAAATTATGTATGTCTATTTATAATGAACAAGCAAGTTAATTTATACTGAAATCTACTTTAATCGATTTCTATTTTAAACTGAAATTTATTAAAATTAACTTTTATTTAAAAAAAACTATAAATCGGCTTTTATGTAAAAAATTTAAAAAACTTCAACATAAGTTAATCATAGTCTAACTTAGTGTAAACAAAAAATTAAAGTGTAAAAAAATATTTAAATTAACTTATTTATAAGAATAAAATATTAAACAAGCTGGATATAAAATTTTAAGTAAAATGGATTAAAATCAATTTTTATTATCATAAATTCAAGAAAATAAACATTTAAAACAAGCCATTTATATAATAAATATTTTAAATTATTTTATTTACGTAAAAATCTCTAATTCTAATGTTCTATTCCTTTTTGGCAGGTATATTCTATTTTTCTGACTCCACATATCATTGAATTTTTTATATTGGATATTGTGTTTACTTTCATCTTAAAACAAATTTTTAATTAGTGAATTTGAAAGATTAATTTCTACCATCGGCAAAAACATATTTTTAAAAAATGTTTTATAATTAGGAAACAAGAAATGTTACGGTTATACGTAAGTACGATGATATTTATATTGAAATGAAACAAATTCAATATAAGAAAAAGATTTGAAGAAAGCCCAACCAGTCAAGTGATTTTGTAAATAACCAAGATTTTCTGTTCTTGTTTCTATTATTTTGTTGGATTACCCAGATTCGATGTTTAACCTGACCCGTTATTATTCAATCTTTCCAGAAAGTTTGACCAAATAGAATGAATAGTTTCACAGTGCCTTTCTTTTCTCGGAAAGAAGATATCAAACAAGAAACAAGGCTTTGCTTCTTGTAATATCTTAAACAATCTTTATTAGCCGAATCTAAATTTGATTGATGATATCATGATGCATTATTTATTGACCTTCTATTTCTTGTCAACTGAAAACATCCGTATATTTATGAATCATGAAGTATCCGTTTTTTTTTTTTAGTCCTTATGAAGGTTTTTTTTTTTTTTTTTGTCTTAACTCTGTGCTTGGTGTGGCTGTACTTCCTCTTTTGACTTCTGTATTGGGCTTGCATTGGGGCCTTTGTCCAGTATTATTCTTTGACCAAAAAACTGCAAAGAATTGCAGGCTCGATTAGAGTTTTTCATAGAATACACTATCTAATTTTTTTTAATATAAATTTTATTAAAAGGTAAAAAATATAAAAAAATAAAGAAAAATTAGTTTTTTGGTCAAATAATAATAATATAGTTCGATAAAAACTGCCCAATTTTTTTTATTACTAGTTTATTATTGGGCAGATTGAATAAAGATTAAGAAAAATAATATAGTTCGTCTTGGGCCAACCTAAGGCTATAGTTTGGGGCCTTGGCCTCATATTTCATCCAAACTAGAGCCCAAACAAAATAACTGTATATTGAACTAGCTCACACAACAACCAAAAACGAAAAATCCTAGTTGTTGACCAAAAACGTTAGAATACTAGCTCACACAGATCATAAACTAAACAAATTAGCAATATCATGCAAACCGTAGTGTGTTTTTCCTTAACATTTACTCTTCTTATTTCTGCGTTGGTTCATATATATATATATATAATTAAAAACTGTACATCAAGTTATCTGCATGCAGTGTTTAACATACGGGATGACCTCTTACATTTAATTTATATTTAAAGGGCAAAATAGAAGCAATTGTTAAAAAGAGACAAAAATATTAAGTTCTAAAAATTCATTCGAACAAATTCAAAATCATTACATGTTTATTTGTATTCGTACGATTGAACAACACAGAAGGTTTGATTTGTCGCTTAAATCATTTAGCCTATGATTTGAACAATTTTTTTTAATAAAAAACGTCTAAATCATATTTCAGAATTTTTAATCAAAAAACCAAATACACAATTCCTACTTCAACAGTTCAACCAAGCCAATTAAACAACAAAGTGGGAAATTGACTAATAATAGTAGTTGTGAATTAAAAAAACTATGTGGAGCCACAAAATAAGATCCTTCACAGCTTAATGGTAAATAGAGTAAAAAAATGCATGGATTTATGAAAGCATAAGTAGTATGACTAGGTCAAAGCAATAGTTATGTTTTGAAGCATAGTGGAAGGCTGACTCAGGAACATATCCTGCTGTCTGTCACCCAACTGCGACCCACTCAGTTAAGCACTCAACAATCAAACATTATAGAATTGAAAGAGCCAAACACACACCCAAAACGCGTTCAAACTATTGATAGGTTGAACTGCCATACCCATTACTATCTTGTGGTCCCTCCACTGCTCCTTTGCTCTTTCATTATTATCCAATACCATCACAATACTTCTTATTATTTAATTCAATGGGTCTCATGGTGGAAGAAAATAACGGGTAACAATATAAAAAAGCAACGGAATCACCAATTGATCATTTCAAATGGAATGGTCAGTTTTCCATTTTCAATCATCATTTTTTTTCCCCGATTCGTGATTTTTCAACAAGTACAATTTTTTATTGCCAATATAAAGATAAGTTAATCAATAAGAGGTCTTTTAATAATATAATCGTTTTGCATAATAAGCGATAAGTGAATAGTCGTGACATGGCAACGCATTTCACGAACTTACCTCTTTGATTCATTGCTTTCTTGAAACAATACAATTGTGTTGTATGTACACAGCATACTACTTGGCTAGATTTAAAAGATTCTGCATGTACATAAATAAGTCGTGTGCAATGATCTTCTTTGAAAATGGTCACTTAAAAAATGATTACCCGTGTCAAAAATTCACAATCTTTGCATCTTCTTCAAAGCTTTTTAATTTTATAGTGGGTGGTTTATGTCCCATTACAACGGGCCAAAATAATGGATGTACACATGATTAGTAAAAAGAAGCTATGATATATGGGTTTGCCCCGTTGTATGTGAAATTGGGGTAATTGCAAATTAATTACTAATATTAACAAAAAAAAAAAAAAGAAGAAAGAAATGAAAAAGACAAGACAAGAGCTGCGCGTAGTGAAGAGAATCACAACTCAAAAGCGCACGTGAGAGTGAAGCGCCCGTTGAGAGAGGTATTGGGGAATCGAGGGCGGGGTCCACGCGAAATTTGAGTTACATTTGAATGTGAATTTGAGTTTCATTTGCATTTACATTTGCATTTAGGAGGATAGTGACATTAAGCAAACGCTGCCAGTGGGGCCCTTAGCTTTAGCATTGAATAATTGACTTTGACCAAAGAGAAGAAAGAGAGGGGAAGAAAAGTCACACTTTCCTCTCTTCTTCCTTTGCCTTCCCCTAATAGCTGTTGACAATAAAAAGGGCTAACCCTCCCACCCTTTCTCCCTCATCTTCACTCAATCGAGGTCTTCTCGATTTTCTTTGTTACTCTCTCTCACAACCCAAAAAGCTTCTTCCTTTCATACTCCTCCCTCTCTTCTACTCAAAAGGTATGCTTTCACTGCTTCATGAATAAAAGCTTTGGTTTTTGGCTGTTCTTACTTCATCTTAGTTTGTTTTGGGTGGGTTTGAGGAAGATGCTTTGTGGGTCTGCTTCTGGGTACATCAAAGTTTCGAACTTTGGAGTTAGATTTAGTTTGTTGTTTGTTTTTGGTTTTTGCACCTTTTTTAAAACTTTTTGTTGCTTTATTTCTTCCATGTGCGTTGGAATACCAAGTTTTTGTCTTGGATGGTTGATAATATTGTCATGGATCTAATATTCGTTGATAAAATTGTATATAATAATATATCGTTTTGTGGGATGTTACCTAGCTTTGCATCTTTAGGGTTTTGGAACGAGGGTTGTTAATAGATGTTAAAGGGAATGGGAATTTTGGTTTAGAAATTGGACTTTTAATTAATTGTCTTGTTTTGTTGTGTGAATAATGTTTAAAATTGATAGGCTTATTGAGTTTATCCTGTCCTATTCTGCAGGATTTGTGGGCATGTGCAGTGGTTCAAAAAGTAAGCTTTCTTTCTCAAACCCCGTCATGGAGAATAACTATCAGAAGCAGAATCAAGATGGTCTCTACAACTTCTCAATCTTGCTTGAATTGTCTGCATCGGATGATTTTGAAGCTTTCAAAAGAGAAGTGAATGAGAAGGGCTTGGATGTCAACGAGGCTGGGTTTTGGTATGGTAGAAGGATAGGGTCAAAGAAGATGGGATCCGAAACAAGGACCCCTCTGATGATTGCTTCTTTGTTTGGAAGCACTAAGGTGCTGAAACATATTCTTGAAGGTGGAAGTGTTGATGTGAACAGGGTGTGTGGTTCTGATAGGGCCACTGCTCTCCATTGTGCTGTAGCTGGGGGTTCTGAATCCTCACTTGAGATTGTCAAGCTCTTGCTAGATGCAGGGGCAGATGCTGAGTTGATTGATGCAAGTGGGAATAAGCCGGTTAATCTGATTGCTCCTGCCTTTGATTCCTTGTCAAAATCGCGAAGGAAGGCTATGGAGTTGTTTCTGAGAGGTGGGGAAAGAGATGAACTCATGGAGCAAGAGATGTTCTCTGTTGTTTTCTCATCCAAAGAAGGTACAGAGAAAAAGGAAAAAGAAGGGAACGATAAGAAAGAATATCCTGTTGATATATCATTGCCTGATATAAACAATGGTATATATGGAACGGATGAGTTTAGGATGTACAGTTTCAAGGTGAAGCCGTGTTCGAGGGCTTACTCCCATGACTGGACTGAGTGTCCATTTGTTCATCCCGGCGAGAACGCAAGGAGGAGGGACCCAAGAAAATACCCTTATAGCTGTGTTCCTTGCCCAGAGTTTCGCAAAGGAACCTGCCAAAAGGGTGATTCCTGTGAATATGCTCATGGGGTTTTTGAGTCATGGCTACATCCTGCTCAATACAGAACTAGGCTTTGCAAGGATGAGACTGGCTGTACTAGAAAAGTCTGCTTCTTTGCTCACAAACCTGAAGAGTTACGCCCTGTGTATGCGTCCACTGGATCGGCCATGCCTTCCCCAAAATCTTATTCGTCTAGTGCACTTGACATGACAGCCATGAGTCCATTGGCCCTTAGTTCCACATCTTTGCCTATGCCAACTGTTTCAACCCCACCCATGTCTCCCTTGGCAGCTTCTTCATCTCCCAAGAGTGGAAGCTTGTGGCAGAACAAAATAAACCTTACTCCACCTTCCTTGCAGCTCCCGGGTAGCCGGCTGAAGACTACATTGAGTGCCAGGGATCTTGATCTAGAGATGGAACTACTCGGACTAGAAAGTCCGGCTCGTCAGCAGCAGCAACAGCAACAGCAGCAGTTTATAGAAGAGATTGCTAGGATCTCTTCCCCGTCTTTCAGGAGCAAAGAATTCAGTAGAATTGGTGATTTGAATCCAACTAACCTTGATGACTTGTTAGCATCTGCTGATCCTTCAGTATTAACCCAATTACATGGACTTTCAACACCTACACAGTTGCAATCTCCAAGCGGCCTCCAGATGCGCCAAAACATGAACCACCTTCGCGCAAGTTACCCGTCCAACATCCCTTCCTCTCCTGTGAGGAAACCCTCAGCATATGGGTTTGATTCATCAGCTGCCGTTGCAGCAGCCGTGATGAATTCTCGATCTGCTGCATTCGCCAAGCGAAGCCAAAGCTTTATTGATCGCGGAGCTGCAACCCACCATCTTGGGCTGTCTTCAGCTCCCAACAACCCTTCCTGCAGGGTGTCCTCTGCCCTTTCAGATTGGAGTTCCCCCACTGGGAAACTGGATTGGGGTGTAAACGGAGACGAGCTTCACAAGCTGAGAAAATCTGCTTCTTTTGGGTTCAGAAACAATGGGGTAACTGCAACTGCATCGCCCATAGCACAACAGGAACATGCTGAGCCTGATGTCTCATGGGTTCATTCACTGGTAAAAGATGTTCCCTCAGAGAGTTCTGATATATTTGGTGCTGAGAAGCAGCAATATGATCTGAGTAAAGAGATGCTTCCACCATGGGTGGAGCAGGTGTATATAGAGCAGGAGCAGATGGTAGCATGACTCTAACTGCTGCCATGGCCATGCTTCTTTCTCGGTTATTCTGACAAAGTTTTTTTATTTATTTATTTTATTTATTTAATTCAACTGCTACTACTATCCAACATTACATAGAGTATAGTTAGGGATAGCAAAGAAGAAGTTCAGGTTAATCCAGAGATTTGAAACTTGTAGATCAAGAAGGACCTTGGAGAAACGTTGGACCAAGGAGGGATGCTGAATTTTTTTTTATTGTATAATATAATTTATTACCCCCTTTTATCTACGGGTTGTTGTATTTTCTTTAGCAAGTGGACAAAGTATTTGTCATTGATTAAGCAGCACAATTCTTTTTCATATATTATATGTTGTTATGCCATTTGATCAATGCTTATCCATAGTGCTTTCATGGGAATCTCTTGTGACTGATTCGTTGGCTGCCTATTATTATTATTTTTTAAATGCGGAATCCTTGTGATTTTCTTAGCTTATTCGTCTCCAGTTTATATATATAAATACAATCATAAGCAATTAGAAAGGGTATTATAATGTTTTGTTGTTCTTGTACGTGAAAATCAACGGTATAAGTGGAGGTACGCCGGCAGGGATGAGTCATCGTAGTCTGGAAGCATGAGCGGATCAAGTTCTTCAAATATTAATGGCCGTCCTTATTAGTTTATTAAGCTTCTAGGATCTGTATTTTTCACTTGCTAAGGTAAGGAGTATGAATATAAACATGTTATATTAAATGAAAATGGAGAAGTTTGCAGACATAGAAAAAATGAATATCTCATAACTTAATGTATGGATTAGATGTGATATTTAGTTAAGCTTTCCTGAGTGTTAACAATTTTATAGCTAATGATGGATATTGAAATAAATTGATGATAAACTTTTGAGAAGAGAATATTATGTCAAAAGTTTTTCGGTGACAAACGTGTTTTATTGACAGTACAAGATAAAAATAAGATTGACATTTCCATTAATGTTTTAGTCCCTCTAATGCCCCTTACAAATTCACAGGGATCTTTATTTTTCTCTGCATGTTGTTGAGCTTCCTCGGCGAAATTAATAGGGATTTTTTTTAAGTATTTAATATAATTATATTTATTTATATTTAAATTCGAGACTATAAATTAAACTAGAATAACATTTTTCAGTTAATTCATATTTTTGTTTGTCATGTTCTAATTTTGTACAATATTTCATATAAAATAAGGAAACAAAGAAATATGTATAATAGAAATAACTAGATACATAAAACTAATAAGAAAATAATTTTATTAATCCTAACTTTTAGGATTAATCTTAAACATATAAAGATTATAATTTTTAATTAAAAAATAACATTTTTTATATTTTTAATACAATAAATATTTTTATGTTGGGTTATTTAACTTCAATTTTAAAAAGTGAACTTAATTTTTTTATAAAATATAATTAAAGTAGTGTTTTCATCTTCAAATTTAAATGTCAAATTCAATTTTATTTATTTATTTTAGCCTCTAATTTTTAAAAATAATTTAAATAAGTTAATTATGTTAAAAAATTAATTTTATTAATATTTTCTTTTATATCACATATATTGTTTGTATATTATTTATCATCTTATTTTTTAAGTTTCTATCCTTTCTTAAAGCTCTACTTTTGTTTTTCTTTTCACTTTTTCATCATCTTTTTCGTCTTCTCTTTTTTTTTCTCATAAATGTTTGTTAATTTATAATTAAAATCAATAGAAATTATTGAAATAAAATGTTGATTCTAATTATAAAATAGTTGTTATGCATTTTTTAGTTGGCTAGCTAAATTAGTTTGACTTTATTAGCTCTTACAATATTTTAATGTTAAGTTTATTAGTTGTAACTGATAGTTTTACGAAGTATCATGTGTTAGTTAAAATAATTTAATCACATGGAGTTTATAAGAGAACAAGCTTTATAATTTTTTTTCTCTTGCAAATAGAAACTATCTAGCCCTGTGCATATATTGGAATTGCTTTAATGAATATTTTTTTGGCATCACTGGAGGCAATATCAATGATGGTAAATCTTTTTATGGCACATGAACTTTGGAATGAATAGTGATAATGCCTTTAAGTGACAACTACCTCTTTCACTCCCTTACTTTGTAGAATTTTGAAGAGAATGAAAAAAGAAAGAGGAGGGAAAAAAATAGAGATTGAAAAGAAAGATGAAAGGGAGAAAGAAATGAAAGAGAAAGATAGAACAGAAAATTTGAAGAAAAAAAAAGAAAAAAAGAAAAGTAGTGCATGTACTATATGTGGTAAAAAAATAAAATAAAATTAATATTTAACATTTTTAACAAAAAATAATTTATTCAAAATACTCTAAAAAATTAAAAGATTAAAATGAATTAAAATAAAATTATGAAATAAAATTAATTTTGACCCATAAATTAAAAGATAAAAACATTTATTTAGTCTAAAATATATTATATAAATAATATAACAATAAATAATTAAAATTGATTTTACCTAAATTGAAAAATATTTAAATATATTTTTGACCTTTACATTTTAATGAATTTTTAGTTTTAATTTTTTAAACAAATTTTTTAATTCTTACTTTTTATAATTTTTTTAGTTCTTAATGCTGATTTGATCTATTAAGATATTGTTTTAGTTTACTCACATCAGCGTTAGAGATAAAAAAAAATTATATAAAAAAATTGAGAGTAAAATTAAAAAAATGGCTAATATACGAGGACTAAATTCATATTCCATTAAAAAATAATCCATCTCATCAAAAGTGCTTTGGAAGTCGTGCCTCATCTTTCAAGGTTACGAATTTTGGTTATGAAAAATCTATTATCGTGAGGTAACAGACCATTGAAAGTTCAGTCGACCATGATGAATTTATGCTTCTTTTTTTTTGTAGGAGTAGGAAAAAAAAAAAAACTAAATGCAAAAACTGACAAGATATGCTTTTGTATAATGATTTAGCATTGTTTCTATTTTAAAAATTTTAAACCAAAGAAACTCCATTTGTTAGGTTCATGAAAAAGGTACAAAAAAACTTGTTTTAAATATAAAGGCGAAACCAAAGACGTGTATTAATTAGATCCCCATCTAAGATCGATGCTAAGGCAATTGAACCGCCCCCTCACCATCAAAGGGTCTTTTTCCCCATAACAAGCTATTCATTAAGGAACAAAAAGAAGTCTTCGACTTGTGCTTCAAGCTCACCACCTCACCTTTACGGTGTTTGTTTTAGGGTTGACCACCATAAAGTTTACATAAGTATATTTAATACAGTTTAATTATTTTTTATTCTATTTTTACTCATCTAAATAAGCATACCTTTTTAATAAATTTTTACTCTATTTTTTATCTTTCTATTTTTTTCTTCCATTTCATCCAAACAGGACCTAAAAAAAATAGTATTTCAAATCAGTAATTAAATGTTTGTTAGTTATAGTACATACATTGATCCACGTAAAGAAAGTTGTAGTACCTACCCAAATTTAAAGGTTACGTAAATTTTGTTTAAATTTAAGTGGTTACCAAGGTAAATTAAGAGCTAATATAATACTTGAAAAATAATTTTCAATACCATATCTTTGGGAAGGAAGACGGAGAGAGAGAGAAATGCCCCTTTAATTGGTTGTATCTTACATTTAAGGAAAAACAGGGTGAGTAACCTTTTGTTTATCTTTTCGAGGGCATTTGTTGGCACTTGGAATGCAATACATAAAAAAAGGGTAAGTTTAAAAGTTAATAACATTTCTTCCTTATCTCATTAATTTGGAAATATTATCTCAACAGATAAGATATTTACTGACATTACACAGATTTTGTAGGCGTCATTGATGACTTAACTAAGATAAAGAAAGGGGGATGAAAAAAGTAAATGGTAAGAACAAAGTCTACTTTAGAATTAATGCTGAAAACTTTTGTATATATAAAAATCATTCCCATTAAATATACGTTAGATTTCAATAATGTATGTCATTTGTATAGAAAGATACAACTTTGAAATGAAGATAATGTCGGGAAACGTTGTTATCCAGATTAGAGGGTTATTTGGCGAACAAGCGGTCCAATGGTCCCAAGAGGAAGTTGAGTCCTTTGGTAATGAGTTGGTTTAGACATGGATTTGTGAATTCAGCAACCACGTGCTTAAATTTGGAAAGGAAATTGTTGAAGGCATGTTAGTTTTGGACAAAAATAAAAGGCCACATTAGTAAAAATGACAAAAATAAAAATTCATAAACGAATTAAAATTTACACAGCTTTGATGTAAAATAAACGCTGACATGATCCACAGCAAGTACACATTTATGTGCACTCCTTAAATTCTATGCAAATTTGTTCTCACATTGTGTTATGACTTGATTTATTTGAAACACTAACTAAATGAACGAAAAATAAATTTAAAAAAAATGCAGCGCAATTAAATTTAAACTTGTATAAATAAATGTAAGGTCCACCTATATAAATCTAGAGGTAAACTTATTAATCGACTATAATATGTAATGAATATATGTGTTGTTTCTCTAACACAACTTTTTTATACATAACCATAAGATATTAGATCTGCCCTATTAAAGTTGCATCGTCATAATTCTCTCTCAAATGAAAATATTAAAATGAAACATGGTCATATTTTTATCTATTTGCATCAATAAATAATTGTTAACATTTATTGAGAAAAAAAATATATTCTTTCACATTTTATTCATTTGAGTGTTTTTTTTTTTAAAATCTCAATTTACCTTCATATGCTTTATGCGGCATGCTACTCATTGAGGCTTATAATAATGTCTAATGACAATGTGCTGTACACAATAATCAAATTACATTAATATGCGCGTCATGATAATACTAATAATAGCAGCAACAACACTTGAGAGCTGAGACAAGGTATGTTTACAAACAGTAAATAAGCAACGGAATCAGGGCTAGTAGCTACCTTTGCAAAAAGTGAGGTAAGTCCCCCAGTCCAGAACTTCAAGAAAGGAGCATGCCGGGACGTATCGATGAAAATAATAAATCATGCAACCAATCATAAGTCATAGCTGCCACCATTTACGATTTTCCATTCTTTTAGCGAGTTCAGTTGCCATGGATGCAAAGTCTTGTGCCCCACTTTGCAACTCTTCAGTACGTTGGTTGAGCATCTAGTAAAAGAAATGGCAAGAGATGGTTAAATAGAAAAGTAATTAACAAATTTTGGAGAATTCGAGCTATTAATAGTCATATGTGATTTCACAAAAGTAGTAATTTGTGTGCAAAAGCTGGCTATTTAAGGACAATCGATTTTGGTTTTTAATTTTTTTGTGCATTATAAAAAATGCAATTAAGAACCAAAGAGTAGTTTCACTGTTAAACGGAGCTGAAGTGGAATTCGTCAGCAATAGGATTATGTAATGATTCATGTAGCTAGGTGTATCAATAGACTTCAATGCGACCTTAATCATATTCAGACAGTGCTTGCATCTTCAATAAGATAAACCCAAATCTATCGTCTACTTAACTGAGACCAGAAACAAATATTTTTAGAAACTTCTTGAAAATGAAGTTTCTTTTCGGTAATTAGGGTTTTTATTTTCTTTGAAAAGGAGGGGAAGAGGTTTGAAATTGTCAGGATAAGATACGGGTAATGAAGAAAGGAATCAAATAACAATCTACCTGGAGTTTTTCTTGCCGCTCAACAAGTTTATCCCTTGCAAGTGCAGCTGCTGTCGAGGCATCCTGAAATCAATGACCACGTCATGAAATGTGAACTAAAATGAGTGAACTACAGAATTTTCAGATCGAAGATTTACCCCCGTCTTTCTGTATTTAGCCTTAATTTCTTCAGTCGTTCTAACTCTTGGTTTCGAGTTAGTGCTTGTATCTTCAAATAATTTCTGTCGGTCCGTTTCTTTCCCTTTATCTGTAAGGAAAACATTCAATATTCAAAAGACAAAATCATAAATACTTTAAGAAGAAAATAAGACAATATAAAGGTACCTCTCTGGTCAATATTGTGTTTCCGAGGAGATGAAAAGACTACAGGTTCATCAATCTGAATTTCATCTGCAAAAGATAAGGTAAACATTTTAATTTAAGAATATAAAGAATAGCTGGCAGTAGATGTTAAGGACAAACCTATGTCAAACACAAAAGAATCTTGCATATCAGTGCCTGAGGAAGGCTTTAAGAAAGGAGGACTGGAAAATAATTGTTTCAAAATTTCCAGTTTGTTATTAGTATCAACTGCTTGATTTGCATTCTGATCCGCTTTTCCAGCTTTAAAGTTTTTTCCTATATTAGCAAAGATAGCAGATGCTCCCTACGGCAAGATAAGTTGAATTACAAATCCTGAAACATTTAATGGGAGAAACAGAAGAACTGCAAGCCTGAGCAAACTGGACCTGTCTTTCGTTTTGGTTTGGAGATAGGCTAGTTGTAACATCTACTGCAGCCGCAAGGACTTCATCGTGAAGACAAGGAAAATACTCCGGAATCCTACAAAAATTTGAAAGTTCATGTTTCAAACCAAAGTTCTAATTAATAATGAGACGATATATATGATTTTCTCAAAACATATTTTGTAGAGAGGCTGATCACAACCACCTGAGGGTTGTCCTGGGATCTCTTTCATAGGAGGCCGAAAACTTGATTTGGTTTAATTTGTCATAAGAAGTTTCGTTATGTCGAAACATTTTATCCAATACTTTGAATACGAACAATTGTGGTCTAAGTTATGAGGTTAAGAATTGATGGCTAAATAAAACATATATGGCCAGAAAAGGGAGGAATGGTAAGGTACCAGAATTCATTTTCACAGTTCAACAGTGATATACAAGCAGCTTCATTCCCACTGACCTATAAAACAAGATAGTCATGTGTTTGCTGGTAAAACCAAAAGCAACTGGAATTTACTTCATTTGTGTTTAAGACTAGGGAGTTATTCATGCAACATGTTTTCTTGCATATTCATTGAGAATGCTTTTTGAAGGATCCAAAGTACATAAAAGTTAAGTGCATGGTGGTACTAAATCAAAGAAAAATTCAGAAGAAAGCTTGTTTTCATTCCATAATCGAATATGAATTACGAGGCAGAAATAACTAATGAAAAATGTACACTACTTTAGGAGACCAAAATGGAAAGGGATGAAGTTCTTTTCCCTAGCCAAAGAAATAATCTATAAAACTAAAAACAGAAGGGATTTTATATATAAATAATCTCTTTAAGGTAAATAAAAAAGATTATATCTGGTCCAACTAACAGGACTCATGAATAATGAATCAGCCATTTATGGTAGATTCTAATTTTAAATTAGTGTCCAACAGAGATGGACTGAACTAAAATTCTAAACATTTGTATAGTGACATATCAAACTGAAGACAACAACATACTGATCACATTAACTTTGGTAGCATATACTAAACAAAATAACTTCATTTGAAGAGCATGGAAATTTTCAAACCAGAATAATTTTTCCATTTGATGAACATGTTGTCTTCTCCATGTTGGTTTTCAAGTTCCATCTTAAGATTGACATTAAAGAGCTTTCTCCCAAAACTTCCAAAGTTGGTAAGGACCTGCTCAAAGTGAGATAACATCTATCAAAATATTATCAGGAGAGGGAAATGTAGCTAAGTGGACCATGGCATAACATAAAGCTAGTATGACACAGCAATAAAACCAGCATTGCATTAGAATAACTACAACAGATTCAGAGGCTAAGGTATATGATTTCTTTTAAAGAGTATAAAATATGAAGTTAAACAAGTAGGATAAAAAAATATTACGGATTTTTCATGCAGCAAAACTGGGACTTTAACATTGGGATGTGGGGTAATCCAAGTCCCAGTTGAGAATAATATAAAATTTATGAACCTCCATTATAATACTATTTATTTGAAGGATAGCGTTTTGATTTATAAAGGCTCATAACAAAGTTTATTTTTTATTTGTCAAAAAACAAAGTTTTTCTTTTTCTTTTGAGGGGGTGGGGTGCACAGGCAATTTCATACAAAGTAAAAAAAATACATATTCTTATGAGTATGCACTTCACCTTAATTCAATGTCTCCAGTTTGATACAGAAGAACCAAGACATTCTCTTTCTCATCTTTCTTAAAGGTTGTAGTCCAGCAGCATCGTTGTACAAGGTTCACCTTCCGTATGTACTTATTGCTGCCCTGTTATTAGGAAATTTCATTAACCAGTAGAACGAAAAAAAAAAATGAAATTTGAAGGAAGATGGATGTGTAAGGTGTCACCTCAATCACAAAATTTAAAGAGTGTAAGCTCAATTCACTCTCATAACAAAGTAAAATGAGTGAGTTCAATACTATTTGTCCAAAGTATGAATTTTCTACGGGAGTAGCAATTTCAATTTCAACTTGTGCATTTTCAGATTGAATGTTGGCTTGCGTTCCAGATTCACTCCTTGGAGACAAGTTGGATGAGAGTTTTTCAGCAGATTGTTCAGAAGTACTACCATCTGAAATAACATAGCACCATAAGTAATAAAATTATTGGCATATTGCAATATCTAATTTTCTTAACCAATATACTTGCCTATTATGTGCATTGAAATTGCATTTGACTTTACTTTGGGGTTCATTGTCCGACTGCAAACCATATTCCCTGTCACAGTATCTATCACAAGGAAGCGTGCATTCTTTGTCATAACAAAGACTAGCCCCAATCCAGGATTGTCAGAAATATCCGATACAGATTCCTGATGACTGTTTAAGCAACAAGTGTCTGAAAATTTTGCACTCATAGAAACAACTACTGAAGATGTGTCAGATTCAGTTTTGGTAAGAAACAACACTGATGATGAACTGATATCAAGCATAGCCACCTGCAAAGTGGATTAGATTTCCCTTCAACAAATAAACCACATCCTTCAAAAAGAAAAGGAATTCATGAATGACCTCACCTGCCCATGTTCATATCCAACAGCAAGCTTCTCTCCAAGGTTTGCAAATTGTAGGCTGCATACAGCAGAATTTTGAAGGGAGAACACAGCTTTGCAATGAGGTCCATCCCCATGATGCATATTATGAACTGGTCCCATTACATAAGAACAGGTCAAAATCAGAGATTAGAAATATCAAAACACTATTTAGCAAAAACAGATACATGAAGAGTATCTTGGGTCATTGTCAATTAAATTGTTTTAACTTCCCCAATGGTAGTTGGGAGCAGATTATCTTTATTGATAGTGTACAATACAAATCTTATGAGTATCATGATTACATGGGAAAGGAAATTCATGTGTGTGTGTGTGTTTTCTTTACCCAAAAGCATGCATTCCAACTAATAACTACTGTTTATATCAGCCCAAATTCAAAGCATCATAATCTAAGGATGTCAAACCATGGGAAAGGAGGGGAGAGAGAGAGAGAGAGAGGGCGGGAGAATGTATAGGTACAGCCAAACTATTGGGAAAGGGGTAAAAATGGTGCAAATTGAGTCTTTACTCCTTTACAGGAAAAGGAAATCCAATCACCCTTTCATTTTTCTTTCTTCGATAATTGCAATGTTTCAGCTTCAAATAAATTAATAGCTTGCAGTAAAAGCAGGACTATTCATGATATTATAACGTTTTACTGTTTAAATCTGAGACTCTATGCGAAGTTATATTTCTATAGTCTTTCTCAATCAACTGGAGGCCCTGTGCATCTAACTTCATATTTTCTTTGTCAAAGAATAAAACTATAATAGTATGTAGGCTGTGCTTATACTAGTTGTCTTGTATTGTACTACACTTATATCAAACATAGTTCATTCATATAAATACACATACCAGGATCCTAAGTTCCTAACTAAAATACAGTTTAGTGAATGCCATTATCCTTCCTTGTACATGGTGTGCATGAATCCAGGATCATGGTCACTGCATACTTGTCTACATCCCCATAACTCCGGTGGAAGCATTTGTCATGCAGAAAATATTGGATAATAGGCTTAGGGTAATTCAGTACTAATACTTCAGCAAAGCTTTTATTTTCTTTGTTCTTATCAATAAGATTAGAATGAATTAAGTTAAAAAAAATCTATTCCTTGATTGGAAGAGAAGAGCTCAAGCTACAGATTCTGCCACTACATTCCAAGCAGTTGCAGAATACTCCAGCAAAAAAGAGCTCAACTCCAAAGTACCTTGCTCTTTGTTACCCACAAAACTTCTTAAACAAGATTGAAAAATGATCTCCAAAGTAGGCAGACATGTTCAATATTCTTCAAACAAACCAAACCAAAGCAACTTTTTTCCACCACACGTGTCAGTATGAGATGGCTATAGAGCTTTCAAGGTATATAAAGATAAATAAGGGGAAAAGACCAACTCTATAAGTACTGCAATCCAAACAAAGGTCTTATACAGATATTTATCATTCCAAAACTTTTGTCATCTAAAAAGTTTGGTTCATCGATGGACACCATTCACAATAAAGCACAACATTATTTGATCCATACAGCTGATCCAATCTAGTAGGAAAAGGTTTGGCAGTTGCTGTAAAAACTTTGTTTGAATGGTAAAGTTCTGAAGAGTAACTGTATGTGAGTAAAGGATAAAAGACATGTGACCCAAGATCTGGAAAGCACTCTTCAATTATACAAAGAGATATGCAAATAAAATAAGTTTCAAATGTATGGTTTGTGGTTCAACCTTCAAATAATCTAAGTACCAAGATAATAAACTTCCCCTGATCACTTGTTAAAAAATTCCTAATTTTCAGATGCCCCTTTAATGATATTTCTTATTTAGTCAATCAAATTTTCTTGAAGATATTATTGTAAAATATGCTTGGCATTTGAGACAAATCAAGAAAGATACTGTTTTCAATTCAAATAGAAAATAAAGAATACCGAACCTTCAGTTCCATTTTCTGTCACGAAGTGCACAGTTGTGTCATCTGAACTCCTTATTAGCCCATAGAGACGAACCTACATACTCATGTAGGATAAATTACTAGGGATTCAAGACTTTATTGAATGAGAAAATAGTGAAATGCTAAATTACTAATAAATCTTACAACACCACTTTCATCTCCAACGGCAAGATGTAGAGTATCAGGGCAAAAATCCAATGCTGACACTGGTGCACTTGCATTGCCTATTTTAAAATCGTTAACCTGCCAATTGCAAACTGTTCTGTCATGGATGACTAGCATAAATCTAATACATGAGTTTCAATTAATATATAAGTGCAACATTGAGGGGGGATTGGGGACAGGGATAAAAGATTGCATAATGTATAATAAGCTAATGACTAACCTCAGATTTTATGTTGTAAAGAAGTGAAAAAGCAGGATATGTGGCATCCCATATCCAAACAGATCCATCTTGGTAACCTGCTATATATATTTGGATGACAGGATGGTCTTCTTTGAAAAGCTGACCTGGAACACCACCAGTCAAAGGCCACTTTATATCCATACTAGTCTGATTTTGTATTGGATGCTGCTTAGCAGCTACAAGAATCTACACAGATAATTTGCTATTAATGGTGAGTTGTGACAATCGAGCCTTTTATCTTTACAAAAATCGAGATGTTGGCACAGCAGACTTAACATCTATACAACACTTAACCACAGGGTTAACAGCTAGACATAGAAAAAGAATATTTAGACTTCATAAGTGGGTATTACCTCAAACAGGGATCTAAACGACTTCATGTCTTGACATACGACATCAAACCTTGCAGTTGTCATGTAAGGTTCAAGAGTGGGTATGACAATGGGATACTGCATTGGGGTTGAAGTCTTCTTTTCTTGCTGAGACATTATGGAAGACAAACAATCATTGTAATAAAGATCCAGTTGTCCAGGATTTGTCAATATAAATAGCATATTAGAAGCTCCCTCTGTATGGCAGTCACTAGATAACAAAACCATATCAGCAAAAGAACCATGAAGTTTAACATCAATGCGGCCAGTGCACTTAAGATTTTCTATCCCACAAGACCAATCAATGCTCAGAACCTGTAAAAATGAAAAAGCAGCATTATAGTAACACATTAATTATCTACATAAGATGAATTTTTGAAAAGTTAACAGGTCCTTGACACTGCCAATATAACAAGTGAAATGCTTATTGTAGCAACAATCAGTTTCAACAAAATAGTTATTCTTCCATAAAAATAAAATAAAGGATGAAAGTTGTTTGCACTGCAAGTTCACATAAGCCTGTTTTCTTCTTTTATTTTCAATAGGCAATTCAACTTTATCAGGAATCCGGATGACAGGATGTATATTGAGCATTTATAACAAAAGAAAAGCACCTAAAGAATAAAGAAGCACAGGCCAAAATACTAATTTATGGCATTCATTTAGGACCATTTGCTTTCTTTTTTAGCGTGGTCTGTCTCATAGATATTAGACAGACAATCTAATCCTTCAACGAATGATCTGAAGTTGATATTTTATGAATAAATGATCTTGAAAGCCAGTAACCTATTCTCAAACTGAGCATAGATCACTGGAAATTTTTCTTCACTCATCTTCAATCTCCAGGATAAAACTCTTTCTTCTTTGGCCATTTCACACAATCTGTATTCTTGGTTCGCTGAACATAAGACTTTTCCTTCCAGCAGACTTCCTCTTGTACCAAAACCTCCTCTAAAACATTCACAAGACTACCTGTTGAGACAGAATCTTGTGACAAGTTGAAATTGTGCCACTCATCATTATGGCTTTTTTTTTTTTTGCTGTTACTATATTCAAACACCACAAATATAGCCAAAAGGTATGGAAACATTTTCTCATCTATGCATAATCTCTTGCAAATGTTAACATCATGATAGATGACAAGATGTTTTCAATTATTACAATAACTTTAAAAAAAATCATTGTCAAATAGCTACTGTGTATGAAACTTACTGTCAGAACTTCTTCAGATCCAATCTCATCACCACCGTATACAAAGAGTTCTCCCTCGCTATTATTAAAAGATTTATTGGCACACCAATGTAAAATAATAATTGGGAGTTTTCTATCAGCTGATGATAATTGAAGCTTGACAACATTATTCAACATTTTTTTAACTTGTTGATCTGGGGGATAGTGAGCAGTTGACAAGTCCCAAAACATTATATCACCATCTACATAACCCACAACAACAACTGATCCATCATTAGATGCCCATGAAACTGAGCTTATCTCCTTATCCTCCTCTTCATGATCTAACTTATCATCTGAAAGCTCAACCTTGGGGCCATTTGGATAACTAACTACTTTTTTTCTCTTCAGTTTGACATCCTTCTGGCCTCTGATGAGAACAATTCGATCTTCAGAAGCATCCCAGAGTACTATCAAACCATTTTCATATGCAATTAGCAGTCTGCAAAATGAAGATTTCAATTAAATCAACTAAAACATGAACATTAACATACCATGTATAGTACACAAAAGTTTAAGTTCACTAAAGATTTATGAAAATATATCTGTTACTTAAAGTGTATAACAATCTATCTTATGTGTCAATGAATGTTAAACAAGTCATAAATTAACTTTGCAATGATGTTTCCAATAGTCTGCAATTAGCATAATAAACAAGTAACAGAACAGGAATACATATTCGACATTGGGTGGTCCAATTTACATGGTAAAATGTAAATCAATATATTCAAGTTATTTATGTGGTGTTAAGACAATTTTCAAAAGTCAGAATTCAGAATATCAATATTAAAATTTCAAACTCAATTCCACGGAAGCATCTGCTTTCTTTTATACAACTTGCTGAAATTTTCAATTTACGTCAAAGTTCCTGTGATAGAATAAAATCATTCTTATACAATAATACAAATATTGAATATGAACTTTAAGTAAGTTCCCGTCTTGCCTTTTTCCATCAGAACAAGGTTGATGAAGAACTTTGACAACCGAAACATGATCAAGTGACATCCCAACTGCTTCTGCAAAGGTGAGCAACATTTTGCAAAAATTTAGATGTTTGACTTGGCAAAAACAAATTAGACATTTGCAACATGCTTATGGCTAGGAAGTAGGAATTTATGTTACCTTTATGACATACCAACAATAATCTGCTCTAATAAGGACATATCATGGAAGGTGATCAAAAGTCTTCATGAATTGATTAAGATTGAAATTTATAAAGCATAAATATTGGTGCAATATATGGAAACAAGTACACAAGAAACATCACCCACGGATGACTACTCCAATAAACTAAAACTCCAAATAACTAATTGTTAGAATAATTATAACACAAATGTATTGCATGTGTGTAGTCTGTATTTTTCTGTACAGCAATAATTAGTGCTCTAACTTCAGAGTTAATGAAATTGATCTTGTGTATAAATATGTGCCCAGTTTGACTGAATAGTCACAGTTCCAGCCACAGTCTCTCAGTTTTTTGACAAGGTTCAAATCAACCCTAGTATTTGTTCTCGGGTAGAATAATACGCCAGACAATACAAGCATTACTACCTAGCACCCTGCACAAGTCAATCCATCCTCCTTCAGGATAAAATGCAAGGCTTTGCAATACTTTCATGCATTAAGCACCCTTATGAAGTGTCTTCATCATAAGCAAAACCACTATGGAAGGAGGCAAAAATGGCTTCAATCCAGTATACTAAGAGAGTCCATCAAGTAAAATCATCATGCTTCTAGGAAATACTCATTAATATGCACCTTATTTAGTGAATCCAGCCTAATACCACAGAATGTTGTGAAAAAGAATTTCTATACTAGCTCTTTACATGGTATTAAAGCCTGTTTGAACAGACCATAAAAAAATTGATGACAACATAAGGTAGTGGTGGATCTGTGTTTTAATTACAGTTCATGCTTAAATGAATTTTGCACTAAGGGATAGATTACAGATAAAAATAAATATACTCTTACGTCTTTGCACAGAAGCTTAAACTTTCAAGTCACATGGTTATCGAACATTCATATAACATGTAAACGTGTATGGATATTAGCAAAAGGTCCAAAAAGAATATTAAATCCTGTACATTAGCAGATGCATTTATACAAGATTTCAGGAGTAGTTATAGTCCTAAACTCATACCGTATCTGGGTGACACACATCACCCATGTCTAGAAAGTTGATTTTCAAGTACACAACCTATGAAGTTATTTCAAAATATTTGGTTAGTGTGTTACTATCTGCATCCAAAGAAAATTACCTTATATATGAATCAGAAAATTGGACCAGAAAATCTCTCTTCCCACACACCAAACTCAAACCAAAGAAAACTCAATGCTTCTATTAAAACAGCCATTGTGGTCAGTGCAAAAATACAAGTCTTGCTTCCAACTTCTATACGGTGTAAATGAAGTACAAGAATGAGTACTTACCGGACATAATATTTGTGGGAACATAATAGGGTAATATTTGAATTTTTCTGTCATCAGAGTTGAACATCAACACATATACCATCCCATGCTCAGTTCCAATATACCTGAATCTCATTAAGAGGGGAAAAACGTTATAGTATCCATTTACCAAAATTTATTTAGAAAGAGTACCATGCAAATGCAGATAGAAAATCATCTGCTGCACAAGTATTTTACATGTAACTGGTGCCATAAATAACAGAGAAGGCAGTTATGATGGATTCCCACTTCAAAGAAGAAGCAATTTGTCTGCTTTTCAAATCCCAAACCTGCCATTATCAGAAACACATTGAGCTGGCTAGCAAATGTAACAGATGAAAGGGGGAATGAGAGAGAAAAAGGGAGGAATAACTAGGTATAAAAGTTAACCACTTAAAAGAATAAAAATCTCACACACACACGTGTATATATATATGCAGATACTGAGGGTGCCTGGTCCCATTAAAGTTTAAAAGAACTATACACAAGGCTTTTAAGGTACCTGTATTTCATTATCACTTGAGACGCTAGCAAGAAAACCTTGATTTTCCAAGAACTGTGAGAGATATGCAGAAAGATAAGACACATTATCACACCATGCCTTGAAATCATTTCATTTGACTTCTAGACTTCAGTAAATGTGCAATGTTAGATAAATTAACATGCCTGCAAATGCACATCATACTCACACTTCACCTCATACACATGGATTCCAGAGATGCATATATTAAAAGAACAAACAAAACAAAACGTTACCAGGGTAACAACCAATATAAGATTAAACGACTGATACACATTACTCTTTAGTTTCAAGCTTCAACATGGATCCAAAATTACAAACCTCTAAATTCTTGAAGGATGTTTGCTTAGGAGAGATAAGAATCCCTTCAATATTGTCACCACCAAACACCTTTATCCTTCCATCGCTACAAGAGTGAAGAAAATGCTGACATCAACACAAAAAGCCAGTAACAACCTCCATAACCAACTTGTCTAGCAATCAACACCACAATATAGTAATAACTAGCCTACTATAGTGCTGTTCCTATATCTAAGCTACTCCTCAATCATAAAAAATAGGCTCATAAGATTCCATTTAATAACCAAAAAAATGAAGTATATAATGAATTATGAGCTAGTTCCAAAAGCATGAACCTCAAATATACTTCACAAAAACAGAAAGTTGTCTGACTCGTGAATATTTCATTTCGGTATCATTGGAAATGGAGAACTCCAATAACAAGCAATGACTCACAGTGTTCCCACTGCCAATAGACGCTGTACTTGATCAGAGGCGAGGATAGACGCGGTAGATGGAACGCCATAGTGTAGAACAACTCGCGGATCAAATTTCGCCGACGGAAAACTGCCTTGCACCACGTCCTGCTGTTAAACGCCACGAAAAATGTTCAGAAACAACATCAGTTTCGGAACTCGTATTCACAAAGAAACTCATACCAATGCACTATTTGACGCAAAACAATAAGTTTGCTAAGATTCTTCAACCACTAAAATTGAAAAATGGAAGAATTTAGAATGTGTATGCAGCGGAAATTGAGCACGTACCTGTGGGCGTTGTTGCGGTGTAGATTTATGCTGAAAGAATCGAGAAAACATTGTTGATGATGATCGAATCCAGGAGCTTTTGGCTTTTGCTTCCCTCTGCTGCCCAAATTTGTATTCTGATTTTCTGTTTCTTCGTGCTTCAGGTGCCGTGTGAATCACCAGTATCATGCATCGTGCACGCTTGCTCGTTCCGAATTTCTTATCGAAATGGACGGTGATGCGAAGCCTGAAGGGTTACTTGGACCGTTCGATTGCAAACTTCAAAGGAGCTTTGGAGATCTGATCGTCGGAATACGAACATCAAAATTAAGACAGGTCCATCTATGGAAGACACTTTGCTTTCTTAATTATTTTCTTTTTAAATATAAAAAATAAATATAAAATTTACATGTGATATTTATTAATTATTCAAATAATAAAATTAATTTAAATACATTTTTAATATTATTCAATAATGAAAATATACTATAAATATAATTTTAAATTAATTATTATAAAAATTAATATTTTTATTGATGTAATATTTATAATTAAATGACCGTATAAAAATTATTTTAATTATTTTTAATAAATAAAAAAACTGTTGCTCTATCTACCTTTTTATAAATATACGCTTTTATTAAAAACTTTAGTTTAAACATTTTGACCAGCAGTTAATTTCATTCTGACCGGTAGTTGATTAGAAATTATAAGATTTTTTTTTTCATATTTTTAATTCTTACGCTTTCTGATTGGTTTTAGCTAGAGACGGCATGAAGGTTGATCATGAACAACGGAAATTTATATCGAAATGATATTTTATTTTATTTTTTATACCTTCAAATTTCAAAATATATTTATTTTTATGTTTTAAAAACAAAAGCATTTAGATTTTGACTAAATTTTTATTTTAGTTTCTAAATAATTAATATCAAATATTTTAATTTTTAAAATATTAAAAATATTATATTCATTTTTTATTTATATCTATATTAAATATTTTAATCTTTAAATCTAAACACCGATAAAGTAACAAACTGTTATGTGTAACCATTTTCTCTCGAAAAAAAATTTTAATTTGTCTTTGAAATCTGACTTTTTTTATATGATTATTTTTTAAAATTATCGAAATATAAAATTTTTGTCAAAATTATGAAAATATGATTTTTTTTTAAATTATTATTGAGACTTTTGACTATTTTTTGTGTATTTTTAAATATTTTATTATTATTTAAAAATTATTATTGACAACATTTAATTTTTTAAAATTGTTAATATTTTTAAAAAAGTATTATTAACAATTTTTGGGACTTTATTACTTTTTTAATTTTTAATTTTTGAATTTTTGTACTTATACTAGATAGTAAATTTTAAATTCTATATTTTTTTAAATACTATATTTTAATATATATGTATAATTTTTAAATACCATATATAAAAAGTAATTCCCAAAATTTTAATAACCAAATAAGAAGCAAGGCATGAACTGAAAAAGCCCAGGACAACAAGACTTGGATGATGGCAGAGCAGGGGTCGTATCACGGGGACAAAATCGTGGAGAAGAACTTTACAAAACTTTCTTTTAGTGTTCAGTACACTAGATTTTGCAAAGTTCACTAAAAACTAATTTATAATTATATAAGCTTTGTAAGGTTTTTTTTTAAATTAAAAAATAAAACAATAACTAAAAAGAATAATGTAAATTGCCATACATATATTGTCGCATTGAATTAGTTTATTTGATTGAGACGATAAAATTCATCTATTTGTAAGGCACCTTGGCATTTGTCTAAAATAATATGATTAAATTTGTGTCAGATTTATTTAAATATAACTTTTTAATATTATAAGTTATAACTTTATGTTAAAATATAGCTTAACGTAATTTAATAAAGATTTAAAACTGATACTGAATAAATAATATATTTTAATCCAAAGAAGGGGAGCAAAAATTAGTAGAGGGGATCTGTGTCCAATGCAACCACAAACCCCAAGTCCCAACCCTGCATGGTGGCACGAGAGGTGCATCATCTTTCCTCACAAAAAGGGCAGAAAGGCTGCCACTAACTACTACAAGCCCACACAGAGTGCTTTAAAAGCTGCCAAATTTTCATGCAAATCTGCAACAGATAATATAAAATAATGAACAATGCTGTATTTAACACTTCATTTATCAAGATATTCCATCGTGCTTGATTAATTAAAGCTTGTCTGCTCCACCTTACGTTGTCTGGTTCCTTTAAGGGTATTTACTTGTGGGTTGTAGAGACCATACCAAAAAGTTGAATGTTATTTTTTAAAATAATTACATATTTTGTTTTAGAAAACGATTATGCTTAAGTTAAGAATATTTACATTACAGTGAGGTTAAATGTTTAAATGAAATTCTGTTTCAAAAATTTAAACCAACTCTTGCTACTATTTAAATGTTACTTTAACGAGATGATAAAAAATATTTAAATATAAAACGATATTAATAATAATCAAATAATAAAATTACCTAGTTTTAAATGATAATTTTATTATTCTTAACTTTTAAGACTCATTTTAAACATTTAAAAATAGTTTAAATACTTATTTATTACCAAAATTTGTTATTGTTAGTTGTTTATTTTTATCATTAAAATTTGAAATTGATATTTTTTAAATGCTAAAATTATAAACATGTACTATATGATCATGAATAAAAAGAAATTAAAAAAATCAAAACGCAAAGAAGGATCTAAAAAAGTTAAGAAAAAATTAAAAGCAAATTTCTCTCTTACTTGATTACATTAAATTCAAAATTGCAAACCAGAACCATTCTTTTTATGAAGCTGCGGCCACATGTAACGTGCAGCAATATAATAGAGTTAAAAGTGTCATAGTTAATATAAATATTGTTCAATTATGGCTGCCAAATTAGACATTATTAACTATATTGTCTCATTCTGAACCATGAAACAGAAAATTATCACTAACCAAACGACGATCAGATAGGAAAAAAAATAATAAGAAAAAGCGAGTAGTGCCCATTTAAATTAAGTGAATTTCATAACAAAGTATTTATTTATAATAAAATAATTAAAATTTTTACTATAATAATTAAAAATATTTTACTATAGATTTCTTTAAATATAATATATTTTTATATTATAAAGTTAAGTTGATGACAATTTTTAAAATTAAACAATTTATAAATATAATCTTAATGTATTATCCATATAAAAAATTTATAATATTAATTAATTAGAATATATGATAAACATAATTTTTTAAAAATTATTATTATAAAGATCAATTATTCACTAATATGATAATACGCGACAAGATATTAATATAGAAAATTATTTCATTTTATTAATAAATTTTAATTACGTTTATAAATTGTTAATTATAAATATTTTAAATAATTAATTAAAAAAAATTATATTTGTATAATAACGTTGTTATTAGTTATTATAAATTAAATTAATTATATGTATATGCGCATAACACGGTAATTAATTATATGTATGATTAAAACATTTTCATTGCTATGATTGTATTTAAAAAACAAAAAAATTGTACAATTATATATAAAATGCAAGTCTTTTTTTCAAATGAGAGTATTATATGAATAAGCATTTTCAGAAGTTAATTTTGTTAGTTATTATATCAGGTGATTTTCTTAAATATTTTGTTTTTAATTTAATTTTAAAAAAAATTAATTTTATTTTTTAATAATTTTTTTTAGTTTTTATAAAATTTATATATTTAATATAATATTATTTTAAATTATATAAAAATATTATAAATATTTAAAATATTTGAATTTTTTTACAAAATTATAACAATCATATAGTATGTTTTTAATTTAAAAAATTTAATTAAATTTAATAATATTTATACCGTAAAAAAATTATTAATTTAGGAAAACCATATTCAACAACATAGAAGTCGATTGAGTTTTGAGAGAAAAAAAACTAAATCAGTTAAACTATATTATATTTAATATTTTTTAATTAATCCAACCAAAATAATTTTGATTAAAGTATAGTTGTGTTGAGTGAGATCATTGGATTAAAAAGATTTTATCTATTTTAAAATTGTTCATAGTGGAAATATATTAATTAAGCACAAAATAAATACATATAATTATATACTATAGATGTATATTTATAATTCAAGATTTAAAAAAAAATAAACAGAAAAATATGCTTTTGAAAAATTCATGAGGTGTTAAATACATATGTAGTAAATAATATCTGAATGACAGTTTTTAAAATATAATTCCTATAAGTAGATGATTATTTTCTGTTTACGAATAAAAAGTTAATATGTAATTATTAGTATTCCATTTTTTATTTAAGAAAAAATTATGAAAGTTGTTTTTAATACCTGATGCGTTATTAGTATTTTTCTTTAATTACATATATCATTTTTTTTTTACATCTAAAGATAATTATATTTGCAATAAATTTAATGCTGGTTCATTACTAATTTTTTTTTTACTAAGAACGCAATTGTAGAGATTATTTGATTTGAGAAAATATTTATTATTTGATTTATATTTTTACCTTGTACTTATAAGAATATCATATCATCTTTTATTTATGAATGGTTTACATTTAACTTTTTAAATGTTTAATCAAATTTATTTACCTAGTTAAATAAAGAAATGTAAACTTAAAAATAGAATTAATTACTTAAACGAGTCATGCCTAAATTTTAAAAGTTTAAAATCAATAGTCTGTGAGTAACTGTATGTATTGCTTGTATAGTTATACTTTTTACTGTCATATTCGCTTGAAATTTTAAAATTTTATTAATATTACCTTATATACATCATTAAATAAATTTTAATATTCAATAATCATGTTTTAAAAGAATAATCATTAATCTTTTAAAATGTTAATAATCCAAGTCTTTATTTTCATATTCAATAATCATGCTTAATTGAGTGAGTTGGTTAATCAATATATTCATTTATTAATATAATTAAAGGTATGAATTAAAAAAATATTAATATTAATATACTTTTATTTATATTTTAAATATAATTTAATGAAAAATTTGATATATTTTTAAAAAATTTCCAATGACACTATCAGATCATATAATTAATTATGTTAAATTAAAATCCGCAAGCCAGAATCATGATTTTCACGAGGTTGCCATAAGCAACATTGAGCAATAAATAAGTGTTAAAAATGTCCTGATGATGTATAATAATGCATGCCAAATCCGACATTGTTAACTAAATCGTTGCATTTTGAACAAGGAAACTAATAATCATTAAATTAGCGAAAAAACGAAAAAAAATCAAATTCAGACCAGAAGAGCAGAGTCGTAGAAAATGGAAATGGCCAATCACACGTGTGAATCGTCCTTTGTATCCCAACATTTGCACGCTTAAATACATCATTCAAAACAAGCAAAGGGGTCCCCTAAGGCTTTCTCTCACGTCATGGCCTCTTCAGCTCACAAGCAATCTCAACACTTAACAAATCTCTACGGCGGCGCCACCTCAGCGCCGCCGCCAACGCCGGCGACACACTCCAACGACCTCTTCTCAACTTCGGACACCGCCGACGCACTCTCGCGCCTCCTCCACCGTCTCCCACCGAACCTCTCCCTCCCCACTCGCCGTTCCTCCTCTGCTTCCGCCACGTGTCCTCCCACTCTCTCCCTCTCCTCGCAAAACGACATCCTCTCATGCGTTTCTCAACTGGGTTACGCCCAACTCACCGATCACTCCGTTCCTTCCGAACTCGCCAACTCGGCTGAGTCCGAAGCGCTCGCTCTCTTCGACCTCTCTCGCCACCAGAAGGAGTCGTTCTTCCCCAACAACTGGCCTCTCGGTTACGGTGGCGGCGATGACGACGAAGAAGACGGGTTCGCCGAGTCGTTCCGCTTGGACTCGTCGTGTACGACCGAGTCGAACGAGTTAACACTGGGTTCTCTTCGCGAGTTCGCACGTGCCCTTGAGAACCTGGGGCTTAAGATCATCGATGAGTTAACCAATGCCTTGGGGTTGGAAAACCCGTTGGGGAATGACCCGGCCCGATTTTGTTCGGTGATGTGGGTAACGGAGTGTTTGGCTTCACACGGAAATAAACCTGGTTTGTCGGGTGGGTTTTACCCGTTTATAATCGGGTTGCAGTATCAGATAAGGAGTCAGAAACACTCGTTGTTGTCGGATTCAGGATCGGTTTCTGTGTTGCCACACGTGGACTCGATCTTGCTTACTGTTGGCGATATTGCTCAGGTAAGATTTTTCTTCTTTTTAGATTATGTTTCTAATTAATTATTGGTTGTATTTTCAGACAAATGACTGTTCTTGTTAGCTTTTATGATTTTGATGGTTGTTAATTTTGTTGAATGGTCTTAACTTTTTGTAAAACAAGTTTATTTTTTTCTCCTAGTCAGTGGCCTGGTTTATGGAAAAGCTTACAGTATTGTCAGTTGGTCACGTAATCATGTTGGCTAGGTTTAAAATTATTTGCGACATGCAATTATTCTTTTGCCCTTGTTGTTTTCCTTTTTCTTTTCTAATGTTCATGTCTAGTTATTTTTTAAAATTACAAATCCCTGTAATTTGAAGTTTGAAAAAAGCTTCAAATAAAAAGTTATATATATGTGATATATGAGCTTGTTATTTTGGCGTATCTATATATATAAGAATGATAATCATGTTATAATTATAATATTATTTTGAACAATTCTGATTGTTGACTCTTTGTGTATATACTAATTATGAAATGACCATTGGTTTTGTTTAGTTTTATATTTTCACACGCAAATTCTGATTTTGATAAAGCAGAAAATTTATGTTGGTTGGGGCCTTCTGTGGTAAGGTGGGCCAGGATAGCAATGTAGGGCAACGATGGGGTTTATATCGTTTGGGGAAATGTGTCCTGAACGGAGGAATCCTCGATTTAACGCAAAGGAGGACACAATTTTGAGTACCAACGAGACATTGTTAGGACCGGATGCTCTTTTTTTAAAACTTTTGTTTAAGGAAATTTTTTTATTTAAACGAAAATGAGAATATATTAACTATAGGGCATAGTTATTTCAGAGAATTCCGGTCCAAATTGTTAATATTATTCCATAAGTTGTATTTTGACAGTTTGTATAACAAAAATTTTATGACGAGTTGATATATAAATACCAGGTGAAATTTTAATTAATGAATAATATCTGTAAAAATATGAGAATTCAATCCATATTTCTTTAATTTTCTCTAAAATCTCATGTTTTGGTATATAATGTCTTTAAATCCCCTTTCATCATTCCTACCCCTTAAAAAAAAAAAAAACAAAAAAAAACTGGATGAGTGTGTATGTTGTGTTTTGGATTTTAATTAATTTTAAGAATTGATTTTGTATTTCTTAACAGTGAGAGAAAAAAAATTAAAAAGGTCCATTTTTTATACAATTCTCTATCATGTATTTTTTAAAATTATTTTTATTTTGAAGAGAACATAAAATTAGGCCTAAGGCTGATGCATATCAATAAGTGGGCAGCTATATAAATTAAAACAAAAAATTAATGTGTAGGTGTGGAGCAATGGCAAGTTAAAGAAAGTGAGAGGCAGAGCAGTGGGCACAGTGGGAGATGAAAATGATTCACGCAGCATAACAATGTCATTGCTAATAACTCTTCCTACAGAGAGCAATGTGGCTCCACTCCTTCCCAAGGCAACCCTTGAGAGCAATAACAAAGACCCAAAAGAAGAAGCTGAAGAAGAGAACAATGCTGGTGGTGAAGGAGAAGAGAGGGTGTTCAATTCTTTTGATTTTGAGGACTATGCTTGGAGGGTCTATCATGAACGCATCCTTTTCAAAGATCCATTGGATAGGTATCGTGTTACTTCAAAGTTGGAATTGTCTCTCACTGGCTGATCATCCTGTTATTTTTTCTTTCAGCCTTGAGTTTGTGTGAGATTTATTTGTCGTGCTAGTGTTAGTGCATTAAGCTTTGAATTTCGGATTGTTTAAAAACAAAACAAAAAAAAAGAATTGAGAGCACTACAGTGATGAGATGTATATGCTTCATTTATTTATTGGATTGATTTTGAAGAACAGTGTCACTGATTTTTCACTTTCCTTTCAATCTAGAATTCGAGTTTGTGCCGATTGGTCCAACTCTGCCATGCCAATATTGAATAGGCATTAGCTTCAATTATCTCTTTCAATAAAATATTATTGAATATTCTAATAGCGTGTTCATATACCACACATGTGACGCATTAAATAAGATTACTTTTTTTTTTCCAGTTATGTATTTTTTTTAAAAAATTTGTAATTTTAACCATTATGTATAATATAATCTAAATTTACTTATTTCACTCTACTATTTTACATATCCTATAAATATAAATATATTAACTAAAGAACATTAAACACACTTTACATTTTCTTTTATTTTAAAAAGTATGTCAAAAGAATTTTTATATTTTTGACATAACTAATATTTGTTTTTTCAACATTAAGATATTAGTCAGCATTAAAATTTCATTTAACAATGTTGGATAAACATAGCAGACCTTAGATGAAATTTGGAACTGCTGTCAAGCCCTGATGAAAAATTCTAACGTACGTAACGAGGGGCTTTCTCTTAACCGTCGTTTATGATAACTAGCTACTTTTCTCTCGTTCAGAATTGTTATATTGGAATGTTATTTATTTGGAAAATTTTGGAAAGTGCCTTTGATTTCCAATGCTGAGGTTTTTTCGGGACATCTTCCGAGTTTTCTTTGATGTTAAAAATGACAAATTTTCAAATATTGTTTCCTTCTTGACAGCTCCAACCAATATAATGATAGATATATAGCCAATTTTTTCAGCAGTGCCAATTCTGATTTATTCAGTTTTTTTTTTCTTTTAAAAGCATGTTCTTCCTGGAAGGATATATTTAATATTATTTTAGATTAATTTGTTTATATCTAAAATATTTTCAATTAAAATTTTTCTGAAAGAGATGAAAAAACGAAAAACGCACTTTGTTAAAGTGTCATATTGGCTGCATCTTTTGCTGGCATATGGTTTATGGAAATTCCATACCACAAGCTTGTTTACTTGTTTGGGAAGAATTATTTCAAAATTGGCTTTCTGATATTGGCAAACTCTTGCATCGTGAGGAGAATGTTTGTGCAAACTTTGTTGCTACGATATTCTAAAGTCGTTTTCATTTCAAATTGCTTCCAGCTACCTATCTTTCGGTTCACTTTTATACGTCCTTTACTGAAGTCCCTTTGATTGGTTTATTACCCTTTTTTTCAGTTTATTTTAGAAAAATAATTAAGACTGACTCGGAAAACTTTCACAAAATTATTATTTACCAGATTTATTTTTGCCGATAGCAGTTTTCTTGTAAATGATTTATTTTTAAGCTGATGACATCATTGGTTTTTTAACCATGCAATTATATTCTACTTGGAGTTTTGTTTTGCTCTAATTTTACCAATCCAATCGAAAATCAAAGTCCACTCTAGCAGAGTAGGGAAAAATACTTGTGCCCAAGAAAGAAAAAAGTAAATGTAGGAAAACAAAAACACAAGAGCCCATTCTATTGTACAATGTGCTTGGGTTTGAATGTACTAAACCCAAGAACTATTTGACCCCAAATTATCTGCAAAAAAAAAAAGAAGCTTACATGAGAGAGAGAGAGAGAGAGAGAGAGAGAAAGAGAGAGAAGTCAAAGCATTTAGCTAACAATATAATATTTAATGAATTATATACTTATATTTCAACTTTTTGTCACATGTTATCATCTTCTGAAAGTAAGCTTATATGATAAGTTTCTTCTGGCATAGTTTTTTAATATTAAAAATTTAAAATAGTAATTTCAACTTACTGATTAATTAGCTCTTATAATATTTGGATTAAATTATATGAATTTAAACTAATTTTTAAAATAGGAAAATATATAAATTTTCTCTGATACTTTCATTTCATAACATTAAATTATTCAAAATGGAACATCAATTCTTGAGCTTTCAACAACCTTAATTAACTATTTATAATGGAAGGGGGTGTGCTTGGAGGCCACCTAATATTATCCCATGTGATCATTAATGAAGTTTCCTAGTAACTATCCAATGATGAATAACTAAAAGTTTTAGCAGCTAAGATGATAAGGTAAAAATGTTGGCTTGGTACCTCACCGTTTTAGTTTAATATACGTAATTGTGTGTTAGCTTTCTCTTAGTATTCATTCACTTGCTAAGTACGAAGTTATTTTTTAAAGATACAATCGCACGCTAAAGTGGAGATTCTTCCAAACAATATAGACTTTTCTCAGTATTGCCTTTTTTTTTACATAAAATTCGGAATCCGAATTGAGATTACATATTTATAAAATCTAAATCTTTCACTCAGATCAATACACATTATATTTAAAAATAAGGGCACAAAGCTCATTTTTAGACTCGTTCTTAAAATTAGAGCAAGAAAGAGGTGGTCGGTAATGTGTGTTTGTTTTATAAGGTTGATGAAAGGTATAAAAAAAGTGATTCTCTATTATTTTAAAAAAAAGAAATAACGGGAAAATTATGGCATTTTTATGAACCACAAATTTTCTTATCATATAGGTATATTTACAAAGAGTGTCTCATTTGATATGTTTATCCGATACTGCATCAAATCAGGATCTTAATTAATCCTTCATCTACATTTTCTTTATAGATTCATATTAGTTGAATGTTTTATATATCTGATTATCATTTATTCATATTCTTTTCGTTTGTTTTACATTCGATGAAAACTTCTCTTTTTAAAATTAAACTTACAAAATTAATATTTCAAAGATTTCATTACACCAAAAAAATGATAAATGTAATTATACTAAATCAAGCTGCTTGGTGTTTGAAGAACACTGCCCCGTAAGATAATCATATGGAAAACGTATAAATAACAAATACTAACAATATTAGTTAACAAATTTAAAAGTTTAAAAATATATTAAAATTTTTATTAATGTATTTTTGTTATGATTTCTAAATTGCATTATTATATAAACAATTTTAGATTGACAATACAACAAAAAAGAACTAAATGAAACTACAACCCAGGAATATCTGCATCTGAAAACAAATAATGCTGGTGGGCATGAGACAACAGTCATAGCTCCTGATCTTATGGTGGTTACCTGCTCCATGCGCTTCCTAGTTGGAATTGGACCGCATAGATATTTTTTATTAGTGCTCTTTTTCCTTTCCAATATTCCTTTAATTCATGTCCCCTGTGTTAGTTACGATTAGGTGATCATCTTCCACATATTTAACTTTGGGGTCGTTAATACTTTTAGTATTGGCATGTTTGGCTTTAACACAGTGATGTTGCCATTTAGCTAATATGTATCCATCTGAAAGTTAATCAGATGTTTGGCTTTGATGCTTTCAGAAGTTTGCCTTTCAAACGAACTGCTTATAATTTATGTATGTTTCTCTTTAATGCAAAGCTCACCAGCAAGTTAATTATCACACCTATTGATATTGATATTTTTTTTTAAAAAAAAGAAGGTACTACTACAATAGAATGAAGATAATTTAGAGAAGATAGAGATGGCTATAAGAATTATGTAATATTATTGCATTGGAATACCATCTCTTGAACAAACCATCCACACTACACTTAACTAACCCTAATTTTCTTTGAAGCTTGTAAATACCATTAACGTTACTACTTTAGCATTTACCGAAGCCTTGATAGAAGGGTTAGAACAATCAAAACTTGAATATTTTAAGTTAATCTTTTATATATGAAAGATTATTATTATTATTATTATTTATTTTTGTCCTACAGCTTGTGAAGGTTGAATTAAAATCCCTCGTAAAGTTACCTGCATTTATTTCTTTTGTCGAGTAAACGTTATTTATAAAATGAAGTTTATGTAAGAAAGAGAGGAGATCGAGTATAAAATAATTTAAGTAATAAATAGAAATAAAAAGAATATACAATTGTATACATTTGTTTTTTAAAAAATTACGGCATGAATAATGATAATATTATTTTTTTGAGTAGCACCTGCATCTAATTAGTTTAATAGCAACATTTAGTTTTCCATTTTTAATTAGTTGACTCATTGACTTGTTGAATACAGAGTTTGCCGTTGGAGTGATCTTCTCATGGATCTAAACACAAGTCTCTCACCATCAATTAAAGTTACCTTACAGAGTTGCAAGCTGAAGAGAGAAACTGAAAGACAACAACATTGTGTCCACCAAAGACCCTCATAGCTATTTCACCCCTCACCCTTTCAACTGACTGGGACTGCTACCAACTTTGAAGGCTTTGAGATCACTCCTCTTAATCCCTCTCCCTCACGTATTGTCTCAAAGGAGATGTTGAAAGTGGTTGCCAATGGAACCAAAATAACAACAACAATAAAATAAAAATACAGCAACAGATAGATAGATAGATTCTAGCTTGAGAATTGAGAAAAGACCACTCTCCCTCCACCAATAACCTCTTGTGTATTCTTGAAAGACAACACCATTTCACCAAACCTTAATTAAACAAACAAACACAACCTAATACTTGAATTCATGTTTCTCTCTTTCAATGTCCCTCCTTGCTTTCTCTATATTTCTACCTCATTTCTCTTCTTCTTTGCTCAGGGATAATTATTCTGATATCAACTCTCTCTCTCTCTCTCTCTCTCTCTCTCTCTCTCTCTCTCTCTCCCCCCATGCAGCCTCTTCGAAGAAAGACTCCTCTTTTCAACTCAGAAATGGGGGCAATGAAGAGTCGAAAGAACAATAACCTCTCCATTTTCGTGGTGGTGTTCTCCATATTCCTCTTTGGGGTCTTCATGTACAACGAGGACGTTAAGTCAATAGCGGAGTTTCCATTCTCGAGTCCTAAAGCACAAGAAACCCATGGAGGGAAATCCAAACAAGTTGAGTCTGTTCATGAAGACACTGTTGTAGTTCAAAGGGACACTGAGAAAGACGTGGAAGACAGTGTAGTTCAAAGGGACACTGAGAAAGATGTAGAAGACACTGTCACTGTCACAGTTTCTAAGAACTCAAGAGCTCAATTGGAGAAGAGCCAGGATGAAGATTCTGATGAAACACAAGAGCGTGTTGATTTGAAAACGGTTGTGGCGGAGGAGAAAGAGAAGAAGATTGAATTGCCACGTGCGGAGGAAGAGGAAGAGGAGGAGGAGGAGGAGGAAGAAGATGAAGAGGTTGTGTTGCCTCCAGAAGATTGTGACTTGTTCACTGGGGAGTGGGTTTTGGATAACGTGACACATCCTTTGTATAAAGAAGAGCAATGTGAATTCCTAACTTCGCAAGTGACATGCATGAAGAATGGACGACCAGATTCTTTGTATCAGAACTGGAAATGGCAACCCAGAGATTGTTCTCTACCCAAGTAAGCTATTTGGTTCTTTCATTTTTCATTTGTTTCTTCTCAATCTTCATAGTTATTTTGTTCTTATTAGTAATATTCTTATTGGTTGCATTTTTGTAAACTTATTAAGGTTCAAACCGAAGCTGTTGTTTGAGAAGATTAGAGGGAAAAGGCTTATGTTTGTTGGAGACTCACTGAATAGGAACCAGTGGGAATCGATGGTTTGTATGGTCAATTCTGCGGTTCCTTCAGAGAATAGGACTTGGTACAAGACTGGTTCACTTGCTATCTTCAAAATCGAGGTTTGTAATTGTCGTTCCCCTTTTTTCTCTGGGTGTGCCAACCCATTCTTGATGATCATAAATCATAATAATTTGACATAATGATTAACCACAAGCATGTAACATCATATTAGAGTGAAGTACTAATTCATCTGCATTAATTTTTAACCTCTTGGGATTGTGGTGGAATCAGTACAAACACGTAATAAGAATCATTTTGTGCAACGGTGGTGGGCCACTGAATTCGATAACCAAATGGGGGTTTTTTTAAATACCAAGTTATCTTAAAAAAACTTCTTATTGGCCTTTGCCTGAAAGATCTGGCTTTGGGAGATCATGCCAATCTCTTGGTAGTTAAGAAAGGACATGTGGTGTCAGGGGATAAAATAAAACTAGGAATATTGCTTAGGATGCACTCATGTTTAGTAACTAACTGGTTATGTTTGTGTAGGAGCCAGAGCACGTTACTACGGTGGAATTCTACTGGGCACCATTCCTTGTAGAGTCAAATTCAGATGATCCAAATATGCATAGCATATTGAACCGTATCATCATGCCTGAATCGATTGAAAAGCATGGAGTGAATTGGAAGGATGTGGACTACCTGATTTTCAACACCTACATATGGTGGATGAACACTTTCACTATGAAAGTCCTGTAAGCACGAGATCACTCTACCCCATTTCTTTCCTCTTAAAGTTTCGTAATTTTCAAGCAAATTTATGAATTTGTCTATTCTTGGGGTGTGATTCAATAGGCGAGGGTCATTTGATGAAGGGTCCACGGAGTACGATGAAGTCCCACGGCCAGTAGCATATGCGAGAGTCGTCAATACATGGTCAAAATGGGTAGATGACAACATCGATCCAAATCGGACCAAAGTTTTCTTCAGCAGCACGTCTCCTCTGCATATCAAGTAATGACCGTGTCTTAATTTCTCCCTTTTCATCTTTGAAGAATCAACAAGCATAGATTTCATAATATAGACATAAGCCATGGAGACAAGGACATATAGAATAGATATAATAAAACGTGGCTTAAATATGATTTGTCTCCACATTTTAATAATTTTTAGTTTTAGTTCTTTTCAATAATCATTTTCACTTCAGTTTTTTATATTTTTCATAAATTATTATTTTTAGTTCTCATAATAATGTGATGTAATAAAAAAAAACTGACATTTTACAGCATCCTAGTGAATCAAATCAGCAATATAAATTAAAAATAAAAATTTATGAAAAAATAAGGACTAAAACAAAAAATTAAAAAAATTAAAATAAAAAAAATTTACTAAGGATTAAAAACATATTTAAGTTAAAATGATATATATCATATATATATGTATGTATATATATGAAAGTGTTGCGTCATATCTAATATATAAAAAAAATCTAAACGTATTTGATGATACAAACAACTTGTTTTTATTAAAAAAAATGTTGGTATTTTTTAATCTGTAACTAATTAATCAGATTTGCTACATACGCTGTTTTTTTAATCACTTTTCACACTCGTTAATGATGTGAAAATAATCGATAAACACCACAAAATGCATGTCATTCTCCAGTAATTTACATGTCATTCATCGATGCAAGAATGATACAAACATTGTGAAAATATCATTTCATTTTCAAATGTTCGGTTTCACATTTGATAACTTCGACCATCAATTGGCTTTGAGAAACTTGCCTACTAATCCATTCCTATGGCTAGCTGAGTAGTTGGCACCAATTACCAAACAGTTTAACCCACTTGCAATCCTCCACAAACTGTCAATCAGTATGTAGTAATTTATTTGCTATGCCACTAGCACTAGGCGAGACCATCTCTAGCGCGAACTATTTAATAACATAATTGGTGTTTTCATGTTTGATCTTTGGTAGCTTGGTGGGTGACCCGCTACTTCGTTTTTCTTTTTCACGAAGTTTATACTTCAACTTAACCATTGACCAAAAAAGAAAAAAATACATTTAATTAACTGTGTACATAGCACCTAAGAATACTTTTGCACCTTGCTTTTGAATCCAACATTAAATTTAACCACACGATTTTGTAGGAGTGAGAATTGGAACAACCCGGATGGCATAAAATGTGCTAAGGAAACCACTCCAGTTGTGAATATGTCGACCCCATTGGATGTGGGCACAGATCGTCGCCTTTTTGCCATTGCCAACAATGTGACACAGTCAATGAAGGTGCCGGTGAACTTTATCAACATCACTACTTTATCAGAGTTAAGAAAAGATGCACATACCTCTGTTTACACCATACGCCAAGGCAAGATGCTAACACCGGAACAGCAAGCTGACCCGGCTACCTATGCAGATTGTATTCATTGGTGCTTACCGGGATTACCCGACACTTGGAATGAGTTCCTTTACACACGGATCATCTCTCAATCTTGACCTACAACGTACAGATATCTCCACACAATTCTGTTTCCCCCTTTTCCCTCATAATTGTTATTATTTTTCCTTAAGAAAAACAGCTCCTTTTTCCCCTGAATGCCTCACTCAGTATTTGATTTGTGTCAGTTTTTGTAATTTTAGTCACTTTCTATTAACTTTTCTTTTTTTAGGAATTGGGCATTTTTACCCCTTTATTTCCCTGTTTCTTTATTAAGCCAATTCGGCCATGTGCAGAAGCACAGCAAGATCCTTAAATGTACAATGAACCTTTCTGGAATGAAAAGAAAATAAAGCACGGAAGTTTCGTTTAGATTATTTCATCGGACAATTGTTTCAACTTCAAATTTCTAAATAGGGGTGCTTTGTGATCTTACGTGTAAATTTGAAAAATAAAATAACTTCGTTTATATCATACTTGTAACTTTTCGAAAAAGTAAATCAAATTATCTAAAAGGCAATTTATTATTTAGAAAATTTAAGATAAAATCATTTTGTTTAATTACAAATATACAAAGCATTTTTATTTCAATAGTTCTTTCTTTCCCAAAACTACTCAGTAATTTCATGAACTATAAAATCTAATTTTAGATTCTGATTTTAAAAAACTAAATAATAATGATTTTATTTAAATGGAAGTGATTTTTTTCTTGCATAAAGCTAACAAATGGACTTTTAATATAATTAAATAGTGAAAATTAAAAATAACAAAGGGAATTATACGACACTTTTAATTAAATTTTGGCAAGCATCTAAGTTAACATTACTGGTAATTGATACCTCGAATAAGTTTGAATACAGAATTGTAGTCGAAAATGCAACGATAACAAAATACGTATGAAACCTGCCTTTTTTTTGGTCAAAATGTAAGAAACCTACGAAAATACGATTCAAAAATATGAAAATACTCGACCAAAAAAATGGAAATACGTAAGAAACCTACGAAAAAAGATTGTTCTGCTTACTATTTTTCTATAACGCCTGGTAATAGACACTATCTTGAGGTTAGCTTACTACGCGCAACTAATGCTCATCACGATTTGCTTGTAATCAGTCCAAGCAGTTACACGGACACATGGCTATACAAACAAGATAATTAATAAGACATCAAATCTGTAAATACACGTGCACACCCGGTTTAAAGGGACATACTCGAATAGCCAAAAACGCTTTGCCAGCTACAGAGGTGAAGGCTACTACTGTACATTACTACAATCATGAGAAACATCTATTTATCTCGCTGATCGCATTGATGTGAGTTCTTGGAAAAACCAGACGCAATAAGGGAACTGACGATGACGACATAAACTTAGGTTTGACTCTATCAGCAGCTGTCCGAATTAAAGATGAAGCTGGTACATCAAACCACTGAAGGAACCAAGAAAGAAGTATCGAACGTTTGTCTTGGGATTCCCCATCAGGCCATTTTCCCAATTTCAAATATTTATGGAAATCATCCTTCAATTCCTGAGAACAATTTAGGAGCTCTTCCACCTGCTTCCTAAGAGAACCAACAAATCTTGATTGAACAATTCCTCCTTTTGGTGCAGATAATTTTCCAGTCATCAATGCCTCAATGTATGTCAATGCAATCTGCAAGTAGATACGATTAGCATCAAATCACATGCTTATAAGGGGTGGCCCAGCGCATGAGGCTCTAACCATTATGAGACCTGGAGAGGTCAAATGCATGCAACCTTTAGTGGACTGGACAGGCAGATTTCATGACTCAACCATGACTTAGCACATCACAAACACAAGCGGTCTTACCATTATAGATACCTAAACTTGAGGAGTGAGATTTATTTTGATTTGAAGAACAATTCATAAATAGGTCTACAGAATGAGTAATTGAGCATAATATAACTCATCCTGGGGAAACATGATGTCTAATTGAGATAATATGATGGTATCCATGCAGTGTGCGCCATCACTAATGGTAAGAAAACAAAAAATATATCTAAAGAGCTGAACATAAATCTGTCTAGGCTTTATTTAGATGTTTGGAAGGAGAAAAAAGGAAAGGGTTTAAATATTTAATATTGAGAAGAGAAAGTGAACAAGGTTGTAAATGACATTATTATTTTTTATATCTTTTAATCTTTTTTAATTTTTTTTAAAAATAAAAAAAATTCTCTCTATAAAAATTAATAATTTTACTTTTTATAATTTTTTAAAAAAATTTACTTTAAAAACTAACATATTTAAAAAAAAGTTTAAAACCCTAATCGTAAAAGAGTATGAGAGAGTGGAAGAGAGAAAGATTCTAAAATAGAAAAACTTAAAAAACTATCATTCAAAGGATTTTAGAGAGTTTAGAAAAACTCCCTAACATTTCTCCTCCTAATTAAGTAACTTCTAAAAAAAGATTAAACTCAACTAACCCTTCCCAAATATGAAATTCAAATATAGCCTTAGAGACAGACTATTACTCAAAAAGACAGTATAAAGACTAGGCATGAAACTCACCTTAAAACCAGATATAGAGATTGAGTCACCAAAAACAATGGCCCCAGTAGTAACTTGTTCAGCCATTGATTCAACTGTTGTGTATAATGACAAATATACCTGCACAATGAAACCATCAATAAAGTAATATCAGAATATTCCAATTTTAAAAGGTGCTAAATCTCATTATCTAATGGTTTCCCGCAAGCATAGACATTAAACTGTTCTTTTTTAATTTTATTCACATGCTCCTAGTGGGGTCATATCAAGTGAGAAGAGCAGAATCAAGCCTTTTCCAAGAAACAACTCATTGAGAAGTTTATATCATGTAGATCATGCTCATAAAATTCCATGATATTTAATAATTTCTTTATGCTGTGTTAGTAATTTACTGCATAAGATTACTGTCCAAAATGTGGAATTTAAAATAGAAGAGATTGTTGACTACTGAATTTTTACTTGTGGATAAACAATTTTGTTGAAATGTGGCATGTATGATCAAACATGTCATTCATATATTGCTTACACAAATCTTAAGTCATAAGCTGCATCCAATCATATTTCGCCTTTCCATGCAAATCACAGAAATAGAGTGTAATCCTTATGGTATTGCAACCAGAATTGAAGCTTTTAAATTGAGTCAATATTATGTGTAGAATTTAAGAAGTACAAATTAACCTTCCAAGAACCGTACCTGTAAAAGAGCTGGTCTATCCTTGCTCACACACTCAAATAATACTTGCAAGCAAAATTCCTTGAAATCAACATCAGATCTGCAAGCATGTTTTATTAGTCTATTTAGATATTGCACCACCTTTACAGCAAAGAAATGCAATACTATCTGCTAGTAGGCTGCATAATTAGTAATAATTACAGCATCTCTGACTTGTCATTAATGATCTTCAATGTGAAGCTCAGGAATAATAGAATATAAATGGTTTAGAAACCAAAAAAAAAAAAAAGAAAACAAAATCTCTTTAAAGGGAAGGCCAGAATTAGGCATGTCTAGCAAATAATGGTGCAAAGATAGATGCAACTGACATCACCTTTACTTTCAGCAAGCAACATACTGTAATTGGGTGAAATTATAGATAACAAATGACACTCCTGTACAGCCCATTCAATTACATGGCTATGATCTGACCAATAGAATTTAAGCATCTTATCTTGGGAGTTTTTGAGGAAGTTTCTGCTTTGAAGATTAATTGGAATAAAAGATCAATCAAGCCTCTATATTGCCATAGGTGTAGCCTATCAGATAGAGAGGACTATGAGAAATTTCCAGGTTGGCAGGCTAACAAAAAAAATGTGGATTAAATCTTGGTAACTTGTTCAAAAACATTGTAATAACATTGCCCTGTAGTGGCATTTTACTCTTTTTCTAGAGAGAAATGTTTTATAGCATAAGGTAATTTGAACTAAATATGGTCTTCATCCCAATAGTTCTGATTCCAAAGCGGCAATGAGATGAGAGTTCCAAGTCCTTGGAAATTACTTCTCAAGGATATTTTCATTTTATGAATCTGGTTTCATTATCAATGGTTTTAGGAGAATAATTTGGTGGGTGATGTCCCTTTCTCAAGCTTTTCCGCCTCATTTGGCTATCTACTGTTCACAATTCTCATCATATTTTTAAAAACTTTTAATGGACGAGAATAAACTCAACGTAATAGAGGTATGAATGATGCATTGAATAAGTGGACATACTGGACAAGATTAAGAATAGTTTGGTAGCACCCGTGGTGGTTTGAGAATGCATGCAAACCTATAGAAGCCCCTATCATGAGAGTGGATCAAATGAAGGGTGACCCAATTGCTAAAAACAGAGAGAAACTGGGAACAACTATAGATGAAACCATCATGAAGGGTTTAGAAATCAACACTTTATCTACAGACATGATTTACGATAGAGAATGATGGCATCCTTTAATCCATGTACTTGAATCTGCTCAGGACGAAATGGTTTAGTTATTTTTCATTCTGTAGGCTCTTCTAGGAATTTTCAATTTCCAGAAATTTATATGCAGAGAAACCATTGAACTTCATTCCCTTTTGCGCTTACTTGATTCTCCAACATTTTGCTTATAATCTTGATATGAGAATCTGGACCAACAATTCTACTGGTGTTTTTACTTGCAAATCTTATTCAACCTTCTTATATAGATGGATGAGCAATCTGAGTCTTCCCATCTTTTCAATTATCTTTCTTCAATTTTCAACAGCCAGAGATGGTTTCATATGTATATGAAAGCTGTACTTAGATATGCTCCCTAGGAGAGTGTAATAAAAATTATCATTATTCATTAAAGGGTGTTGCATCTTACCAGTTACTATTATTCATCAAAAGATGTAAGAAACATTTCATAAATCAAACAAATATAAAAAAATACAAAAAACATAATCAAGCAGGACATGAATGCCAAAACATGGGATGTAAAAAACAATTCAGAAATACAAACTAACCTATTATACCAGGAGGGGTCACAGCAGAGCCGTGCAAAAGCAATCAAACTAGGATCAGATGAGAAGGTACCAACCAACTGATCAACTGTGATAGAACCAGATCCATTATGGACGTCTGTGATTGTATCAGATGCTTTTAAATTTGTCAGGCCAAACACCTAGATCAAACAAAAATAAAATAAAATGAGTGTATAATACTTGGATGGACATGTCTGATAGTATCAATTACTAAGCAATTCCAACCTTGTGCATTGCCCGTGACAGCAGGGACTGGCACCCAATGGGATCATCAACATATGAACAAGCTCCAACCTTTCTTTTGATAAAAAGAATACCAGAATTAAAAGGATTATTCTTGTCCCCAAAATTCCACCAAGGTTTATCTGTTGTTAAATCCATAATTGGTGTTAATCATTTAAATGGTATACAATTCTAAAAATATCAAATCAGTATAGGATCATATAAACAGAATAATAGTTTATATTTACCTTCAGGGGTAAAGTCTATTACTTGAGGCCAGTAGCGAGGCCCACAGACACGTATTCTTTTCAACTGTAATCATCAATGGCAACACAAATTAGACCAACAAATGCTTTTCTTTGCTTCAACAACAAGAAATATATTAAGTCTAAACAGACAAAATTAATTCACACAGAAAAATTGAGCACTAAAAAAGATAAATTAAGACAAATTGAAGTACCCCACAGATTTCAATTGTAGACCATTCAGACAATCAGACTTACAATTGATCGCTCTGGCAGAAGGCAAGGGGTGACCTCACAAAAGCTTGACTCTGCATAATGTTCAGTTTCTCTGATTGTGACCTCAATCGGAGCATAAACAGGTACACCTGTGTCAACATCAACTGTTTGAATCCATCGTGCCTCTGTAGCAAGGACATATAAATGGCGAAATGCCTGCAAAAAGACTTTTTTCAGAACTTAATTTGAGCAGTAAAATAAAGAACATTTACAAATTTAACACAAGGTACAATGATTCCAG